GGATCATAAACATTCTTCAATGAGACAGCAATATTCAAATTTCCCATAACGCAACGAACGTTAGAATTTCGATATGACTCAGCAGTTATCAAGTTTACATTACTTTTATTCCGATGAGAAATTATTTGAAGGCCATTCTCGGTAAAAAAGAGAAGTTAAACTGATTCAATACATCCAAACCTAATACAATTTGATTACATAATGACTTAACAACATAAATTTTCGTACGAAGTGAAAAAACTATCAATTGAAATATCAGAAATAAAAAAAGCCGATAGGGTACGTTTGTTTTGATTCAATTCCGTTTAATGTGATATCGCTACAATTTAAATTAGGAGAACCAATCTGCTTGTGTAACTCTACGCTGCATATCGTTACATCTGAACCAGTGTCAACTAAACTATCAACTAAATGATTATTTATTTCTACAGTCTTCATAATTCTATCCTTGTCACAAATTCGTTGTAATAAAGCTGCTTGATGTGTCTCGGGGGTCTGATCTGGACAGTCCGTTGAATAATGCCCGAACTTCTTACATTTTATACATTTTACACCCTTTGATTTGTTTACACAATGCTTAGAATAATGCCCAAATTCCTGGCAATTAAAACATTTGACCTTATTAACGTTAGATTGATTTCGGTTTGATGACGAAAGCTTATTTCTATCTTTAACTTGAGTGTCTACTTTCGGTTTCGGATTTTTAAAAAACTTATCATTGTCCGATCTCATTTTATCATAAATTTTAAGCCTTTGTTTAAATTCAGATATTGTTTCCGCAACCATATAGTATAGTTTTCCTAACCACAGAATCGGGAATACCATCAATAACATATTTAATTAATGAAGCATCTTCAATGTTACCTCGCGAACACATTTCTTTCATTTTCAAAAAATACTCATCTAAAGATTCATTAGGCATTAATTTACGTTTACATAACATTTCATGCAACTCAGCAGAATTAAAAGCTTTACCATATTCAGATTTCAAAAGCTTTTTTAACTTACACCAATCATTAACTTTAGGTTCACTCTGAATAAATAGTTTCGCTTTACCTTTTAATGATCTTTTAGCAAAAACTAATTTATGCAAATCACTCAATTTCAAAGAGTTTATAACATCTTCAAATTCATCAATCCATTTATCAACATTTTCATATGCATTACCAGAAAAAGGATTAACAATACTTTCAATATCAGAAAAACTAAGATGAGGTTTAAAATGATCTTGAATTGGAAGCTGCATACTGTTATTTACTTGAGACTCATTAAAACCAGGATTGTCTCTTTGATTATCATCAAGCATTACTTCAGAAAATTTTATTAATAGTTTCATCTTCAATATCACTATTTTCTTCATGCAAAATATTTTCAAATAATACAGATAAATCACATAGGTAAGAGACAATTCGGGTTACGACTTCCGTTTTTAAACCTTCTGAATTTATGCACAGTACATTGCAAACTTTAATTAACTCATTCAAAGTAAAAACTATTCTGCACTGCATCTATTTTCTTATTAAATTCTTCAGAATCTGGTTTAAATATAAAGCCAGAAAATTCACGTAATCTTTTCCGGTTATTTCGATCTCCATCAGTATTAAAAATAAGCTTATGCAAACTTTTGATTTCAGAACTTTTACTGTTCTTTAAAGCTGCTTCCAATTCTGGAATTTCTACTAACTTCATATTGGAAAGAAAGTTTTGTACTCACCCGACAGATGATCGTCGTCAATTGGGTAATCCACACTTTATACGAGTAATCCAATAAATCGAATAACTTGTGACAACAGTTCACTCAGTTCACAGTTCAAAGCACAGTTCTACTACTCGCACATTTTGGAATTCGAGGCCCCACGTTGGGCGCCATATTTTTTTGTAGAATTTGACTTGATTCACAGCATGAGAGCACGAAGTAATATTTAAATGGTTTATTTAATAGAAAGAAATAAAAGTAAATAAAAAAAGTATATAAAGAAGTTAACGGTATGCAGGATTAACATAATGCTGTAAAGGCATAACATCGAAAGCGCAATTAAAGTTCATAAACTCTTGAAGACGTGTGAGCCGTCTGCTCACGTCTGCCCTCCACTCTCGACCAGGTCTCAGCGCTGTCTCGGATGATTCTTACTGCGCTGGGTGATGCTATAATGATGACGTCATAATCCTGGTATTCTAATTCAGCATTGGACGTTGATGACTCCCACAGTTATATACTTTGGCAGTTCAATTGGCTGAGAGGATCCGCAAGTAGGTGCTGCAGAGAGAAATTCAATCTGTGTTCAGCTCGGAGGAGAGTTAGTTACAATCAGCAGTGGTGGAGCTCCTTCATCATCCAGTGGATGCGTCAGTTCATCTGCATCTGAGTAGCTAGGATGGAATACTAAGAAGAGAAAGTGCAGCACAAAAAAACACTATTGGCAGGCATATTGAAGGGGGAGGGATTTCAGAGCCATACAATGTGGAATAGGTTGAGCTGAAAAAAGGGGGAAGGGTTATATTTATCTTTATAGACTGGTGTCATACAATACTGCTAGGAGATTAAATTTACTTTACTAGGATAGAGCAGAATAAAAATGTTATTAAATAACAGAGTCCAGCTGTGAGGCAAATTATTTTTAAGGTATATTCAGATATACAAAGTCAAAAATTTAAATAATTAGTATTTAATTTAGTACTCTTAGTTTCCAGACACTAATTGCTTTGAGCATTGATTTCAGTTAGCATTTCAAAATGTACAAAAAGTTTATCGATGTTGTCTATATGCTCTTTTAGCTTAGGAACGTATTTTTTAAAGATATGTGTTATTTTTACTACATTATTATGTCTGAAGTCACTGTGTATATCTTTTAGGTATTTAAAAATTCAAATAATTCAGAGCTGTTGCTGTTAATCTATAGTAGCAAGCAGGGGAAAATCAGCAGTAGGGTGATTTCTAACCATTTGTCTATCATTAAGTTGTAATGGAGAGTTCAGTTGTTCAGCCTGAGCGAAGCTTAATCCTGGTTTAATGTTGTTCCTTTCCGTACTTGCTGGTCTAGTTTTTAGAAACATCAGGCAACCATGATACGATAATGAATGTTTTCCGGAACAATTCAACATACTTTGTATCCTCGGTTCTAATAATGGGGCAGGCAGTCAGTAGATCTGTGGTTTTCAGCTCATTAACACATTTCAATTTTCAACTTTTGACAATTGTGGCATTGAGGATTTGATTTTTTTAAATATATTTTTCTACATTCACTATGAAAAGCATCAGATCCTTTAGGTTATAGATATCATCTTTTTGCAGATTGCATGAGAGTTATCAGGAACAGCGGCATGGGTGCTCTAGTCCGGTGATAAGTTAGTTGAGTTATTTTCTGTATAAAAAATCCTCTTTCCATAATTGCCTGGGCTATTTTTTGTTTATCCGAATTCATAGGCAGCCCTCTTAGAATTACTTTGATAGGGCACTTGTATTTCACCTCTCTTTAATTGCTTTATTTTTGAATAGCATAGTCAGGTTTCTGTGATCTTCCGACATCTGCAGTAAACTTTTCAGGAACTCTCCATTGACTTTTCCCAAGAATTTTGATTTTGTTTTAGCAGTAAGCTGCTTTAAGAATTCTCCAAAAGCTAACTGACCATAATTGGTGGGACATCGGATATCTGCAGAGCAGTATTACTCTGCTGAATTTCTTCATCTTGTGAGTAGTTAGGATTAATAAAGTCAACATTATCATTTTCATTAAGAAATCAGAAACCAGAAAACTTATTTTAACTTCTAGCATATTTTTCATTTTTTCAATTTTTATCTGTTTGGCCATTCTATGCAGCATTCTAAATCCACCAATAATCTATTAGATCATTAGCTCCTTTAACATTAGATTTACATTTAATGTTTTTGGCGTTAGAATTAAGGTTAACATTTGAATTGGCAGAATTATTAGCTGGGCTATTAAGGTTGGGTTTGCCTACCGGAATAGCTAAGCCACACTTACCTCTTAGTTCATCCGCCTGCACTTTCAGTACCTTCATCATAGGCTCGATGATGTCTTCATTGGTAACGGGATGTTATTGGTGGTATATCTTCACTACAGCTCTGATCCGATCCATTTCAACTTCTAAGTCCGAAATCTGTGATCGTATATTTTCCAGGAAAGTATTATCCTCTAAAACAATGTTATCGGCCACTCCAAAGCAGCTAGTATTATATGTGGTAGCATCCGCAGGAACTCTCTCGTCCATGCGGTTATCAGTAATATCTTTCAGCATTCGAACTTTGGTGTTGCCGCACGAGCACCTACATGCACAGATGCAAGGGACCAAGTGATAACTTTGGCCTTGAGCTACCAACCAATAATCTTTCATTATACATCATATAATGGAATTTACATGAAGCACCTTTTTATAATTGTTCCTTTAAGTATTTCCACTAATGTAATTCCATGATTGTGCTGTATGATGCACTGTGATTGCTTCTTTTCATTTTCCATTTTCATATAAAACTGTTGTTCATTAAAATGCTGTTCATAACTTTTGATTTTATATTATTACTTTTTATTATATTTTATAAATATCTCAGTACAGATCTATAACTTTGCTGCACATAATTTGTTGAAACATTGTTATTAGTTTTTAGTGAAAGTATGCTTTTAGTTATCTTACACAAATGAATATATATAGAAAGCGGATGATAGTGTTATAATTATGTCATGTTCTGAGTAGTGTTTATCGGTTACTAAATATAATATGTGATGCCTGTACTTAATTTCCTACTTCAATTTATTGTATTTGTTATATTCATCATCATATTTATTGGTGTATATATTTGAGAAAACCCTTTTTGTTTGAAAATTGAAATAACATGTACAGCATGTATAATTTTATCTATTATACATGCTATAATATGGGTATGGTTATATATTTTTTTATTTATAATATGGGTAATATACCCATTCATAATATGGGTATGGTTATATAATTTTTTATTTTATAAACTTTGGTTTTCCATTTAGGACAGAATCTGGGAAATATGCTATCTTCTGTCAACGTACATTAGAAAGAACTCTTTTAAATGGTGGAAGGGAAAGTAAACCATCTCGTATGGAAGTGCTGAGTATTCTTTTAAAAAATCCTTATCATCATTCTCTTCCACATAGCATTCCAGTTCACTTTTTAAATGGCACTTACCAGGTGAGATAGTCTGGGTTTATAATATTTTTATTATTAAAAAAAAAGTAATACATTATACAAGGTGGTTAAGAAAAGGTCACTACTATTGATCATAGACATAGATCCAGTTGTAAAGTTTCTCAAAATAAGATGCAGAACTTTACCAGAATTATTGCTGTGGGTATTAGGGTTCCTTTAAAGTAAAATATATTGTTCCTGAAGAGCAGATATTCTAATATTGAAGAATTCATTATGCCTTAAAAATAAGAATTTCTTACTATTATGTGCAAAATTCGTGAAACTAGTGAAGAACAAATTTTATAACTTTGGTCATTTTGCCTTGCCTTAGCGTTAATACAGAAATGTGAGTGTTAATTTCTGAAGTGCTACTAGGGAAATTTATTCATTTTGATGACTAATGATTCCATCATGGGTAGAATGATCAAATTTGTCATTAACTTTTTAACTAGTTTCTTGAAAGTATTTATTTTTAACTTCCAAGATTTTGTTTATAAAGGAACGAAATGTTTTTTATTTAATTAATTAATGCTTTGTGAATGCTTCACTGTTTGTTCTGTGTGGGTCATATGAAAAAGATTTTATTTTTATAAAACCTTTCTGCCCACATTGTTGAAATTATTATTTTTATAAAAAGTTGTGTCAATTTTAAAAAAAGTGTATTTTTCAGTGTATGTCTAAGATTAGTATTTAAGGGGTATTTTTTTATTAAACCTTGTATAGCATAAGACTTGTTTTAGTGCAGAAAGGTTTACTAAAAGCTTTGATATATATATAATTCTGAAATTATATATTAATTATATTATATATATATAATATTTGAAACATATCTCTCTATGTATTTCTTTGCTTTAATTTTGTTCTGTTCCAACTCATTCTATTTTTATTTTATTTTAGACCACACACTTTATAATTTAATGCAAACAATGCATCTTTACCACATTAAAAATGTGAATCGTCTGTTTTTACATATTATTATTTAGGTATTCTATTTGAGTAAGCTTTTAACCTTCCATTAACATTATTGTAGTTTGACATTCAGCTGTCTATCATGTATACATAAGCTTTTGTTGTTATATAATTAATTGTATTTTAATTTTTAAAAAAATCATGTTTGTAGGTGGTTGGTTTTGATGGTTCAACCACAGTTGAAGAGTTCATACAGACAGTGAATGAAGAAGCAGGGATAAGAGATTCTTTGCACTCTGGTTTTGCTTTATTTAGTGATGATCCTATAGACAAATCATTAGAACACTGCCTTCAAAGTAGTGCTAAAGTAAAATTTCAATTTATCATTTAATATTATATGTAATAGTATCTCTTATAGTATGTAAATTGCAAGATTTTTTTGGAATATTTATTGCATCATCTTTTGAGATTTTCATGAGTCTCTTTGCACATATAAGTCGCATATATACATTGAAGAATTCAGACCTGAGTCGGATTCTTTCAAAATTCATAAAATGTTTTTCTAAAAGTAATGCCAATCCAGACTCAATTTTGTCTAGTTTTTAAACCTATCAATAGTTAAGCTTCCGCGAGACAGAGTTTCAGACTTTTTGCTTATACATTAGTATCCTCACTAATGTTGCAAACATATCCCACACTTTGCCATAGATCTAAAGCATGCCTTTAGCTTTGTCATTATGATTTGAATTTAAAAACTCAAGAGGCCAAGCCAGTCACATTCAACTCTCAGTAGGAAATGGTATCACATTTGCAGTGCTTTATCCATATTTTGGTATATCCAACTTATTGTGCTATATAGTGGCTAACATCTCCAGTAGTACCGTGTGTAATGTGGATGCAAGCTCCAGTTTCCTCTAGAAAGCCCTCTATGAAGGCATTCCTCTCCACAGGCAGATAGCCGTTGCATATTTTGTCATAACCTAACAAAATAAACCAAACCTCCAATAGCAAGTACTCATGTGATCTTAAACTGTTTTCTCATCTAGTTCTTTGTTCTGTATAACATGAATTTATATAGCGTTATAATTTTGGAAGGCATAATGGCCATAATAAAGGAAAAATTGCTTTGAAAACAATATGCTATATGTATACTTCCTGCCATTCAGCCATGGAAGTCATCTTAAAGTATGGATGCAGGTATTATACTCTAGATCAGTGGTTAGGGGGGTCTGTGGCAAATTAAAACTATTTCGGGGTGCACAGACAATGTCAGAGGGTCTGCAAATGTTTTAATATAAAATAAAATAATTGTAACTCTTTTTCATTATTTTGAAAGTTAAAATAAATAGGAATAAATAAAAAAGCAGTTTTACATCCTGAGTAAAATAAAACAAATTGTCTGCTTTTTCTACATATAATAATATGAGTGAATTGGAGGAAAAAAACAGACAATATAATGCTGAATATTTAAAATATGGTTTTACTTGGTTAATGTGATATAGTACTTTTACCTATGTGCCTTATATTCAAACTTTGTCAAAAAAAATCAATGAAGCTTAAGGAACATTTGAAAGAAAAGCCCATAGTGAACTTTTTGTAAAAAAAAAAAGGTAAAAAATATTTGACAACATTATTATTGTGACAGCATTTCAGCGAGATAATGGACTATGTGCTTCTTGTAACGTATTTTTAATAATTGTAAAATTGGAAAACTACACACTATTAATGAAGAACTTATTTTACCAGCTGTAAATGAGGTAATATGCCTCATATGTTGCATTACCAGTGCTTAGGATTATAAGGCTGCTATCACACATCCATTTCTTTTGGATAAACAACTGTTTCAAACAATTTTTCTACCTGCATTACCACTGAAAGATAGACCCTTGACTTTTTCCTTCCTTTTGCAAAAAGAAGTGTAAGTTGTTTGTTTTCAGGAACCAATTAGCTATCAGCATCAAATCCCCAATCATCAACCATCATATGTAATGAAGAACTAGGTTCCCATTTACATAGTAACCTCAAAGTGATCCAGAGTGTTGCCTGTTTTATATCACATGGAAAAGCAGAAAAGTTGTACTAAACAGTCCTTCTTCTAAAATGTTTTTTAATCCACTGGATAACCATTCGATTCTATTTATGTTTCGAAAACTGCAATAATAAAGAACCAAGCAGGCAAAAATTTTTCCTTTTAGCTGAAACTAAAATGGTTCTAAAAACAGCTATTGTAAGATTTCCTTCCCCCTTCTTTAAAGGGCGATCAACAAGTTTTTTCACCTAACTAATGGCTTTCCTAGTGTTAAACTGTTGTTCACTGATTAGTGCCTACAGGCGGTAAAACAGGTGGTAGCTTACCGAGGATGAAACAAGTTCTGTCTACATGCTTTGGCCAGAAGAAAAAGTTTTTTTTTTTTTTTTTTTTTTTTTTTTTTAAATCCAAATTGCTATTGCCTTGCTACTAGTTGTGTGCAATATTTCTGATTTTAATTACTTATCAAGTAAAAATTTTATTGATTTTCATCGGGTTTGGTTACATTAATGTACGTTTATAGAATGTTAATTTATTGAAAATGCTTAAGTCCTTCAAAAATGAATATTAGTGCAGTGCAAATATCTTAAATGGAATACAAATAAAAGTTTCAATTTAATTTGTATAGATACGCATACCGCAGTCATAAAATCTTATGAACTAGTGAAATGGCCTTAGTTTTAGCTAATTATCTGCTTTGAATTCAAACAATCAAGTTTTTACACTAAGTTAAAATTTTTAAGAGGTTTACAATACTTAATTCCTATTGAAAGGTTATATGTAAGGGATAATTAATACATTATTTAAATAACGAACACATGTTTAGTGTCGGTCATTTCGGCAGATTTCTTGTACTTCATTTTATTATAAATCTATTTCATTCATCTTTTTTCATATTTATAAAACGGAATTTTGCCTTTATCTCATTTATTGGGTTAACAAAAGTAATAAAATAGTGAATATTTTGAAAGAAATTTCAGTCATAATCTTATGCGACAACCTTGTTAAAAAGTTATCTACATACAGACAAGATAATGTCACAGATGCATCTCAGTTTCTGAAATAAATGGCATGATTGTGAAGTTTGGTGCATTTTCATATGGTTGTTTTTGGCAGGAAGAGTTATGTTATGTAAATCATAAAAGAACATTATTTTAATTCTTGTCTTAAATACAGCACTTGTATTAAGTTGCTAAAATTCCTTTCCTTTCAAAGTGGACTTTGAAACGCCGCTGCGCACAATGAATTGGAAGTTGATCTGTCAGCACTATCCTTATCTTCAGGGCAGATGTTTTTATTTTATTTCGCTTATAATTCCTTACTAAATGTAGTATTTCATGTACTACAGCAGTAAAGCCCCTGAACGTGGGTAGTTCAGTCTGGGGTCCGAATCTCGCGAACGGGCTGGCTTCATGGGTGTTTTCATTGTTTTCCCCATGTGTAACATGTTAATACAAGCCCTTAGTTTCCCTTAGAAAGTCCTCCACGAAGGTATCCCTGCCTTTCATGTAGTGGCTTAGGACAGAATACATAAATAATAATAGTAGTATAATGCATATAGTTTGCCTTTATATAATATATTCCCACTGCAAAGCTTTATGAATTGTGTAGGAAAATATATAATAAGAAGTACAGCAACAAGAATATGTTATTGAATATACATTTCAAGAGAGTAGTTGAAACATCTTTCCAGTACCGAAGATATTAAAATGTTCAGTATTGGTGCTTTCAATAAATACAAATATGCAAATCTATAGAACTCATTGATGTTTTTGCAATTACAACTATAATATAATTATAACCATTAAAAACATTGTGTCCGTATTAACTAGAATTTTAATGTAATTCCAATTAAATTTATCAGTACTTGCTATGTACTGCACCTTGAGGGAGACGCATTATTTTTATCAATGATATAAAATACTTTCCTTGGAAAACAAAAATTATAGACACGATTATGTCTAGGGAAAAAAACCTTCAGCATTTGGCAAGTGTTGCCAGTGAGCGAAAAATAAGATCTTAATTAAACTTTGAACATACTTGGCAAATATTCTTTTTTATATTGTCATTTGACAAAATATAAGATCTTTCATTTATCTTTAAAATTTAATCTATCTGTTATTGACTTAGAAAAATTCATAATTTATTGTAGTTAATTTATCGTTAAAACTACAACTAAAGCAGCTGTAACTACAGTTCTAATGCAGTGACTATTCGAATTATTATATAACTGCAAAAATAGTTAGATTCTTGGCTCAGCAGTAATTGAGTAAATGAGACGTCTTTTAAATAGTGTCAGTTCAAATCGGATTCAAATTCCGGCAGACATTCTAAATGTTTGGACATCTCCATGGATTTCCTTCTGTGTAACCTGAATACAAACCAGTTTCCTCTAGAAAATTCCCCACGAATACATCATTCTTCTTAAATGCTTCGTCTCATTCAATTAAATAACAACCTTTTCCTCACGGCGATGTGAATTTAAGACAGTTTCCTTTAGAAAGACATCCACAGAAGCATCTGGGAAGGGACATTTTACTATAATCCAAGTAATGTGAGTTAGTCATTAGTTTTGCAAACTGAATTAAAGTCTACTAATATGATATAAGCAAATTTGTATTCTAATTTTTAAATCGTGTAGTTAATTACAGAAATAATGTTGTTTAATCCTTTCATGTCGAGCATATTGTTATGGTTTTTGTATTTATTTAGCTAATTTTAGTGGCATTTGTAATTAAAATTGTTTTATATTCTCGTGCAATGCTGCACAAGACTTATTTGAAGAGAAAGCTACGCCAGAAAAATTAAAATATAGGAGCACACGCATTTAGCATTTTAATAAATAGATATCTCATAATTGTATGCTTTTGCTTTCCGGAAAAATCAAGAAAATACCAAAATATTCTCGTGCCTGATTTAAAAGCTTCTAAAAGCTGGAGGAAAACATCTCAATTCATTTGTTTAGAAAACTGTTCTTGTTTACTGTAGCAAATTCGCGACGAGATTAGATTAGCTTTCTCTGCTTTTAATTGTGTTTTGTAAAACGTTTTTAGTAGTTTAAAATATAATTACTGTGAGATATTGCGATTTTGTACTAATATCTCTGAGAAAATTTCAGCATTTTGTTTTTATTCGTTGTGATAAAAATAAATGTTATTCGCTTTTCATCGGACTTGTGCATTCAATTTTTTTAAAAACCCATATGCACACTACAGTGTTACTATATACTAAATGTAAATGAAAATAAACATTTTGAACAAACTGTTGTATGTATTCAAGATTCCTCTTTCCAAGTATTCATAATGATTTCAAAATGAGCTGTAGACTAATACATTGTGTCTCTTTGCCTCTCTATGTGAGCATGTATTTTCAGTGATGTCTGCAGTTCATTTGAGGAAAATATTATATCTCTTTTATTCAACAATCATGAATATCTGTTAATAATTTTAGCTTCACTGCATTCTCATAATTTTTGCATCTTTTATCGCATTATCGTGTTAAAGTTTCAGAAGGTTTTTAATGGATTTATTTATTTATTTTATGTTTTAATTACAGTGTATTGTAATAGTGCTATGTGAAGTTAGATAATGTTTTAGTCTTGTGTCTGGCAGTGATGACCATTAGAGATTTTGGATGGAAACCAATCAGTCAGACCATGAGGTTGATTTCTTGATTATTAAACATAATGGATTAAAATATTTTAAAGACTATGATGTTTATGAATAGAAATTAATCCCATAACTGAATTAATTAATACTAAAATAGTATTCAAAGAGTTAAGTAGCTCATTATGTTAAATTCTTATTTTTAATTTGTTTTTCCACTGGCACTTAAATTAGAAATCAAAACACTGCTTTTCACTTAATAAACTTTATAAGAAATTGAGAATTGTGTATGTATTTAATGTTCATTTATCACTGTTAGATTTCTTTTGTGTCTGCTTATATGTACATATACTGCATGTGCCATAGTTCTAATAATTGTCTTACTTGTTTTAGTTATGTGATGTGATATCTAAATGGGAACAAGCACTTAGAGAAAAACATTTAGGCAAGTTTGAAAGCACAAAAGTTGTAAAACTTACTTACAAAAATAGGTAAACCTCTTGTAAATTATAAAAATTTTTTACTTTGGTTATTAAAATTATGTTATATTTGTCATGTTCAGAACTAAGTGTTCCATGTATACTTGTGTAGTTATTTTTATATCCATTATTGAATTGTTTTTGAAGGTTACTTTCTTATATTGTGATACTTGAATTTTAGTTAATTTTTTCATAAATTTTACTTTTGATGTGTATTTTTCTTACTTAGAATAAAACCCAAAATTTCATGCAATGTATTTTGAAATTTTTTGGTTTCAGTTTAAAACTTTTTTTTAATAATAATATGTATGAATAAATGAATCTTGAAACTTAACACCTTGCGAGTCGCTGTCATATGTTATGGCGTGACTTTTGCTCTCCAACGGTTATCGGCCACTGTCATGCTGGCGTGACTTTTACTCGCCAATAGTTATCGGCCGCTGTCTCGTACAGTGATTTATTTTTGCCAACAACGATGCTTCACATCGATGTGTGTATAGATAGACATACTATAGCGAAACATTTGATGATCAGGAAACATTGGTTTCAACTGTTTTCCTCTTCCAAATCGCCAGACTGTCTATTATTGAAATCTTTTTTTGTGGATGCTTGTTTTGAGACTGTATTTGGCTGCTTTCAAATATTGGAAACTTACGTTAGATTTAAAGATATCCTTCAAAATGCTCTTTGATGAAAAAATATATGCTGATCTGTTATCAGAAGAGGATAATTGCTCTGATAGTGAAAGTGATTCGGACAATGGGAGCGATATAATTGTGAGACGATTCAAAAATAAGGGAAGCCCAATAATTAGTGAATCTGAAAGTGATGAAGAGAATTCTGTGGCAAATGATTGGTCAGAAGTTGATTTTACACCTAACTTTTATGCTTGCCTGGAACGGTTTGGGTTACAGGTACCATACACACTAGATATATTATCAACTGTGAAATTGTTCATTGGAGACGATTTATTTAATTTGTTTGCCACACAAACAAACTTATATCATAATCAGCAGAATAATGATAACAACAATGCATCAACAAAGAATAAAGTTTGGATTGATACAAATGTTGTAGAAATGAAAAAACTTTTGGGGCTTGTTATCCTAATGGGAATAGTATCTTGTTATCCTAATGGGATATTATAATATAATCTTGTTATCGTAATGGGATAACCAGAACAAGACGATTATTGGTCTACTCACCCTGGATTACATACACCTATTTTTGGGAATACTATGCCAAGGAACCGATTTCGGCAGTTATGAAAGTATTGGCACTTCAGTAATAATGAGCATTGCCAAGAAAGGCTTGATAAAATAAAACCAGTTTACTCGTACCTGGTAGAAATGTTTCAAAAAATTTATAAACCCGAGAAAGAATTATCGCTGTATGAAGGTATCATTCCATGGAGGGGCAGGCTATCTTTTCATACATATAATCCTGCGAAAATTATAAAATATGGAATTTTAGTCCGTATGGTGTGTGAGGCGACGTCTGGTTATATATGCAATTTAGAAATATATTGCGAGCAAGGAAAATCTCTGATTGCGACAATATTGTCTGTGCTATTGCCATATTTAAATTTATGGCACGATGTATATGGACAACTATTACAATAGTGTAAAGGTTGCAGAGGAGTTACTAAAGCATAAAACAAACATCTGTGGCACAATTAGAGTAAACAGAGGAGTGCCAAATTGTTTAAAATCTGCTACATCGAAAAATAAGTCAATGGAATATCGTAGAAAAGGGAAAATTATGGTACAAAAATGGAATTCTGCCAAAAAATTGATAATTATGATTTCTACGATACATTCAGCAGACATGGTCGAATGTATGAGTAAAAGAACCAAAAAGAAGTGCATTAAACCAATTTGCATACAAGAGTATAATAAACTTATGAAAGGTGTTGATCACGCGATCAATACCTATCATGTTATTCCATACTTCGCAAAAAAAAAAAAAAAAAAATTATATCTCATAAACTGTGCATTACTCGACGCGTTCCAGATATATATAAAAAATTCTGAAAATCCTATTAGATTCAAACAATTTTTACTAAACCTTGCACTAGCATGGATTAATGGGAATGAAAAGGAGCAACAATCAAGATCGGCTGCTCAATGTGATAAAAGATTGCCAAGGTTTGATCCACCAGGCAGACTTACTACAGACATGAGAAAACATAGAATAACATATATTAATGATAATGGGAGAATTCAAAACCTGCGAAGGGCCTGTAAAGTCTGCACTGCCACCAAGAAAAGAAGTTCCACTGCATACATGTGTTCTTTCTGCAACGTTTCTGTGCATGTTGGAAAATGTTTTCAGAATTATCATACAAAAAAGAACTATGGATCCTAAGAGTTAAATTTTTTAAATAAAACGTTTTAGTACTAATTAAAAAAATATAATTGGAATAAAATGGAATAAAAGTAGTGTAACAGTTATTTTAGTGCTTTCTTTATTAATAATTATATACCAACTACTTATGTTTCGAAAAATTGCATGACTATCACCGTTGGCGAGCAGTAGAACCTGCGTGAACCGGCAGCAGCGTAACAGCGCTTCAATAAATGTGCGGCCCGCAAAGTGTTAAACAAGCCATTTTATTGGAGCATTAGTTTATAAAGTTACATTTTCTTCTCTTAAAATTTGCACTTAATACTTTTTTAATGTGAATTTGCTAGAAAGACTATTTTAATTTTTAACTTGATAATGAGATGGCATTGATAATTGATGTAATAAGGAGTAGAACAGAAGTGTATATTTTCATAGTTTTCTCTTTGCAGATTTGATGAACCTTGTTACCAAAGTTTAAAGTATTCTTTTGCCCTGAAAAATTAGAGTAGCTTCTTAAATGTATTTCTATTTTCTTTAGGTTATGTTTTCGACAATTATTAAAAGCTGAAACTGACAAAGAACGTCTTTTAACTGCATATCAGATTAATGAAGATGTTGTTAGTGGAAAATTTCCTTTAAGTAAAGAACTTGCTCTTGAACTTGCTGTGTTAATGGCTCAAGTAAGTTAGTTGTAGCTCATACAGTGCAAGTCTTTCACATATATTTATCAGTAAATAATCCGTGTTATAAAACAGATGTGTATTTTATCACTGTACATAGTACCTTATAATCTTTACGAAATCTTAAAAAATGTTTTCCGTTTCTTCAATTCTTTGTGCTGCCATTTGATTGATATGCCATTTTATATACTTATTACTGCATGAAGGAAATGAATTTAAATTTGTTTGAAACACATTGTTAAACATACATACAAGCAGCTTGCTGCCCACATGTTATGGTGGTTAGGGACTACTGTGGTACCTAAAGCTGCGTTCAGACGGCGGCATAAAGAGCATAGAGGCATAGTCATAAGGGCATAAAATACGGGATATCCATTCACACCTGTGAGACAGGGGTCTAAGCTGTGGCTAATGAGAGAAGTTAAATTTGTGCATGCGTGGATGTGTCTACACCTTTCACACGCTATTTTCTAGCTCGAGTGATTTCTCGCGCTTGCTCTGCTTGTTTTCATTATTTTGTGTTATGCCTTTTTCAGCTCACCACAAAGTTTTACCGGTTCAACAGAATGCTCTTTTATTTGCCCTTCTTATAAGCCAACAGGCAATGCAAGAAAATAAAAAAAAGAAAAAGATTGAAATTGTCTAGAGATATTTTTTTGAAAGACCAATACTTGGTTGACACATATATTTCTGTGCAAAGCAGTATGGAATATTTCTGCATTGTACTGTAGTACTCTCTATACTGTAAACATGCACATGCATATTTATATATATAAAACCTTCTTAAATTTTTATATATAATTTCTCTTAGGAGAAATACGATATTCTAAATATGCCTAATTAAAAAAAAAAAAGATCTCGAGGATATCTAACAGATAGCCTGTGTATAATATTTTTCCATTTTGCAGGTGTGAAAGCAGTTGAGCTAAAAACAGTACTTACCATACATATTTTTTTTTTTTTTTTTTTAAATTTTCAATCAAAAGGAACATGTTTCTGTGACAGTGAAACATGTGTGCTTAGCACTCCTTATTCACTATCACTGTCGATCACTATAGTAGTTAGCTGCACTACCAGTATCAATTATCACTAGTACTAGTATCCCACAAATGGTAACAATGACCAGCAACAACAACTAGTACAATACTAGGAAACGTTCACCCAACAATTTATTTTATGCTCAATCATTAAATACATTTTGCTGTGTTGCCAGCTGTTTGTATACATCCATTTCTAATAATTTGCATGTATAAGCCGCACCCCTGAATTTAATTTCAACGTGCTGTCATTTCTATTTATGACCAAATCTCAAAAGTAATTTCATATTGACAAATTTTAGGTACCCAAGTCTTCAAATACAACAGAATTATAAACATTTATACCTTATTCAGGAATTTTTACCAGAGAAATAGCATGAATTTAATGGTCAAAATTCCATTCAAATGATAGTAATAAAGAGTGGATAATAATAAGAAATACTATTCATTAATTTATAGTCCATGCTATGAATTATATGTGCTATTCAGTTTCATTAAAAGTAAATTCCTTTCATGGAGAAGGTAATTAAAAAACAGAACAGAACTTCAACAGGAGACAAAACTGTCTAGACTGTTGAAAGTTGTTTTAAGGATATTTCACTACATTTTTTACTTCTTGGAATTTATAAGAGCATTGTCTCAAAAGATTAATCTTTTATTACTTATACAAAGCTTACACCATTGAATTGACTATTGTGACTATTCCTAAATAAGTGAAATATTTTTTTTTTTTTTTAAAGTAATATTTTTACTGAAAAAAAAATCAGATTCTTGATATTGATGTTTTAGTAAAATTAATTCATGAAGTTTGTTTGGAAAGAAAATCAGCATTTGAATCAAATAGCAATACAATATTTCCAGCTTTTCAATAAATTTATTCTTAAATACAAAAGTAATTAAACAGGAAGAAAGTAATAATAATAATTTACACAGAAAAAATAAAATTTTTTCAAGAATGCATTTTTTAAAGAATTTTCCTAATAAAATGAAAAATATTGGATGGGATCAATCACCTACAGGATCATACACAGCGTGCATAGTTAACTTAAAGCGTGCATAGTTAACGAAAGTTAAGCTCATAAAGCTTAACTTTCGCTTTATGAGTTTCATCCATATTTTTCAATTTATTGTGAAAACTCATTAAAAAATACATGTCATCATCGTAGATTTCTTGCTAGATCAACTCATTGTTTCGTTCAGATACGATTACAACTCATTGTTTCGTTCGGATATGATTACAACTCATTGTTTCGTTCGGATACGATTACAACTCATTCGGATACGATGTGCTCCATATTAAAAAAAATGTCGTTTTCGATGTGACAGCGAAATCATGTAAAGAAAGCCGCTTCGCTCTGATTGGTTGACGCTTATCCCAAACTCGGCGTAATGTTGAAAACTTGGAACCTTGTGCCACGAACCTTAAACCAGATTATGTGACATAGCACAGACTGGTTGCCTTGGCAACGCAGCTCGGCTTTAACCACTTATGCCCTTTACACCCCCATCTGAACACAGCCTAAGAGCCCAGGTTCAAACCCCACAGAAGGCATGGATGTTTTGTAAATGTGTAGTGTCTTTGCGGCATGGGGGCAATCTAAATATATTGCTCATCAGAAGTTCTCTCGAGAGGTTGGTGGTATGGGAAAGAGATTGGAAGACCCTCAGACCTGCCTCCCCCCGAGGTGATGTCCATGAAAATTGGGGACAGAACTGAGCAAAGTTGTGCTGTCACCTGTATGGTGCTCAAGATTCTTGCCAATGACAGGCACAGTCTTGCTCTCGATGAATTTTGTGGGAATGTTCTGATGTTACTGTCAGACAAGTGAGGTAAGTCACACAACACAAGCAGCTTAAAATTTTTAATGTGAATATTTCTATATACACATAGGAGCTAGACTAAAAATGTAGTTAAATTTTTATAATAAAGGATGTATTACAGTTTGAAGAGAAACTTTTCTCTGCCTCGGAATGGCAACAGTCTGAACTTGATTTTTGATTTGTTTTGATGCTGCTTGAATGTTGCTGATGAGATGTTAGATATTAAAATTTCTTATATTCAATTAAATTCGTGTTTTAAACTAGAATGTGTATTTTAAACACTGAATTATCACTGAACCACTACTTGTAGAATATTAGATGCTGCTTGTCTCGAATAAAACTATCATAGAAATTTGGAGATATGCAGCACCGTTTGTCTGGCATACATTTCATGCATCGGCCGGAAAGCCGGGTAATATTCGAAAGTTTGGATTAGCACATAGCAAGTGTGTGAAGACTGCCAAAGTAGGATTAAGTTTTCTATTTTTAAAGTATGATACTAATAGAAGATCCTATAACTAAATTGAAATCAAAATGGAAAGTATTAAGGGCTGCAGTGTCCAAGATAAAGAAAATTGAGACAGAATTAAGGAAAGATGACATTAGTATAAATGTACTAGAAGAAACTTTAGACCAGTTAATCGAAAAGTCAAAAACTTTGGGTGATTTAGACACTCGAATAGAACGTGATTTGAAAGTCGGAAGCGGATGAATTTGAACTTGAAGTTACATCTGCTCAGAAATCCAAAAAGAAAATCTATCTGTGGCAATTTAGAATGAAAAAAAAAATTGAAGGATCTAATTAAACTCGAAAATTCGGGCAAGGAAAGTATGGACATTCCTAATGAAACTGTTACAGATTGCAAAAACGAAAGTAGTAAATTTACATTTCTTTCAAAATTAACTATCTCTAAATTTTTGGGTGATTCAAGCAATTGGCAGGAATTTTGGAGTCAATATGAAGCAGCTATCCATAACAATGTCTCTTTATGGAAAGTAAATAAATTCAATTACTTAGTCATTATTAGGTATGGTAGCCTATAATGCCGTTTCCGGACTTTCACTTACAAATGAGAATTACATTTCAGCTATAGAATTGTTAACTAACAGGTTTGGAAGAAAAGATTTGGCAATAAAATCTATCTGTGGCACATGAATAAACTGTTAAATCTTTTCCCTGTTAGGGATATAGAAAACTTCAGGAACCTCTATGATCAATGTGAAACTCAAGTTAGATGCTTAAGGTCATGAACGTGGTACCATAAACTTATGGTTGTTTACTATGTCAAATATTGTTAAAATTAATTCCATCAGAGATTATATTAGAATACAGTTGCAGTAGAAACAGTGACCAAACTTGGAATGTTCGTGAATTAGTAGAATTTATTCATAAAGAAATCTAAAGCCACGAAAGAGCTATGCAATTAAATGACAGTAGAGAAACAAAACACCAAGCAGAAAGGATTTGTAAAAGTCAAGCTCATTATTTTTATATGCCTTAAACCTCAGCATAGAATAAAGAATGTAAAGAGAAAAATAAAATTGTGAAATATGTAATAAAAAACACTGTAGGTCTATTTGTTTCCAACTCAAAACCAAATCGGAAAAAAGTAAAGTCATGTAGGCAACTCCACTCAGTAAAGAAGGTGCTCAGATTATTTACTTAGAAACTGAAACTTTCCGCAGTGCATTGCTACAAACGGGCACTGTGATGATACGTCCATTCTCTGATAATGATAATTTAGAACCAGTTCGTATTCTATTAAACAATGGTTCAATGAGAAGTTTTATAATTCAGGACATATCAGAAAGGTGTAAATTACCTGTTATTTTCAAGGCAACATTATCTGTATTTCCCTTTGGGATTAAGCATGCAACAGAACGAACTTACAATGTTATGAAAGGTAAAATAAAAAACAGAAATGAACCATCCCTAAATATAGAAATTGAAGTTTTAGAAACCAACCAAATGTGAGCAACTAATTTACCTTTTCCTGATATCTCAGTTTCCAAAATTAACAAAGAATTAATAGGATTACAGTTAGCTGATTCTTATAAATACAGGAGCAAAAACATTGCTGTTCTGATTGGAGCAAGTTACTATCATGAAATAATAACAGGTAAACTGAAACATTTTAAAAATAAACTTATAGCTTCCAAAACAGCATTTGGATGGTTCTTTCAAGGCTGGACTGATTCTGATGGTGAGTTGTTAAACATGGACATTATTGTTGACGATAAATTAATCTCAACTCAGTTAAAGCAGTTTTGGGAATTAGAAGCACTGGGAATGGAACAAGTGAAGGAAAATAGTAAAATAGATAATGACATTTTAGAGAATTTTAATGGAAGTATGAAATTTAAGGGAAAGTAATATGAGGTTAAATTCCTTTGGAATGAAAATCCGTCTGAATTAAAAATGGTTTACGTAAATGTAGAAGCTCACCTTAATAAACTGGTTAAAAGTTTGAGAAATGATCCACTAGTTCATCAGCAGTATCAGTTAGTTATAGAACAGCATTTAAAAATGGGGATAGCTGAGGAAATTAATCAAAGTTTTGAAGAAACAGGAAGAATATATATTACATGCCTCACCAGCCAGTTATTCAACCTGATAAACCCTTAAGAGTTGTATTTGATGCATCCAGCCATTCAGAAAACAAATATCCTTTAAATGACTCTGTATTCTGGTCCTAATTTAAATCCACCATTGTTAGAGATACTAATACAATTTTGTACACATAATGTAGCATTTACTGCCAACATCGAACAAGCCTTTTTCCAAATTTATGTGTCACCTGAAGCTTAGAGATGCTGTAAGATTTTTGTGAACAAATAACCTTACAGATAAGGATTGAAAGCTTAACACGAAAGTACTTAGGATGACTTGCGTTTTGTTTCATGCTTCATCGAGCCCATTTTTGCTTGCCGCTACTATCAAACACCATATAAATACTTTTAAAGAAATAAATTAGAAAACAAACTATTGAACAAATGTTTATACAGAGACGATTTAATAGGTGGGGATGAGGACGAAAATGTAGCTAAACTCGTATATGAAGACATTAGATACATATTGAAAGTTGCTGGTTTCAACTTTTGTGAAAATGGAAAACAAATTGTACGAATTTGCAGGAAGTTTTTGATGAATACGAAAATTATGAAATCCAGAAAGTTCTGGAACAGAAGGTATTGGTGCTAAGTGCACTGTCTTTTATACAAATGAAAGGTCTTACCCTAAATGCCCTCTATGCTAATTTTTCCAGTGATGCATAACTCTAAGTTGTTCCTTAACAACTGCCTGGCAATGTAGATGAGGCTTTCTGGTATTGTAGCAAGTCTTGAATGGTGAAGGGCTCTGACTATGTCTGATATTCAATCTGAATTTCTTTAATTACATCCTGTCCTAACTCTGATTACACCAAAGTAAATATTTCTGGCTCTCATCACAATTGCCATTAGTTGTAACTGTCATTCCTGTTGTTGCCACTTATAAATTGTCCATGGTTCGAATCCCGCGAACAGGCTGGCTGCATGGGCGTTTTCGTGGTTTTCCCCATGTGTAACGTGTATACGAGCCAGTTTCCCTTAGAAAGTCCTTCACGAAGGCATCCCTCCCCTTAGGCAGATAGCCCTCGTGTGCTTTGCTATAATTAAATACACCACACCACCACTTATAAATTTGATACTATTGGGGTACTTAAAATATTGATGAGCCGTAGGGTGTTCCTCAGGAAAATGTGAAGTTCCCCTTTCTCACGTGCGTAATTCTATCACCCCCTGTGGCCCTTGGGCAACATTCTCAGTCATTAGATAGCTAAATGATTGATAGGTATTAACCATTGCAATGAATGCATTAATTTGAAAGTACCTGCCATTTGGAGCAACATCAAAATAACATAAATTTACAGTTCAACAGCAGATAGGTTGTCATGTTCCTTTATCATCATGCAGTGAATATCTTCTGGTTTCTTATTTTCACTATTCAAAAGATGGATATCATGTTCTCCTGCTTGGTGTATTTTTTCTAGTAAGCAGTTCTTTTTGCTGTTATTAGCCAGTGTCATATTTCCAATGTTGAAGTTGAATCATGAGTCTCTTCACTCACAGATTACATATTTGCAACAGAACTTGTGCTATGTAATTTTAATTTTTCATCAACATATTAAAATTTACATATTGGTAGTTAAGACACAATAACATGCTGAACAAATACTAATTCAGAAGTCAAACAACAAAAATCAGCGTTATATTTTCATATTTTCACAGGACTAGTTTCGATGGTTTTACCGAACCACCATCGTCAGCTGCAAAAGCGCAAATGAACGAGATAGGATATTATGATCAGATAAAGATAAGAAAGCCTGGACAGAAAATAATCTAGTGGCCAGAACCAGATGATGAAACCAAAACTAAAACATAATTTCTTTAAAGGCCGAAGGCAAAGATGGATTGGAATTAGGATTGTTAACTAGAACAGAAAAATTTTTTTCAATGTGAAATGCCTCTAGAAAATCCAGTTCTCCAATGGAAGATATTTTTTGGATAATTTTTTGAGCAGAAAAATTGAAAGTGTCTTTTTTGAACCAACAATGTTGGGCAACAGAAGACTTCTGTGTTTCCTTTTTTCTGACATATGCCTCATGTTCCTTGATGCAAAAACTAAGAGAGCCTTAAAATTTTGCATCAAGGAACATGAGGCATATGTCAGAAAAAAGAAAACACAGAAGTCTTCTGTTGCCCAACATTGTTGGTCCGAAAATCACACTTTCAATTTTTCTGCTGCCATAATTATTCAAAAAAACATCTTCCATCGGAGAACTGGATTTTCTAGAAGTATTTCACATTCAAAAAAAAATCTTTTTCTAGTTAACGATCCTAATTCCAATCCATCTTTGCCTTCAGCCTTTAAAGAAATTATGTTTTAGTTCTGGTTTCATCAACAGATGGCGCCACTAGCTTATTTTCTGTCCAGGCTTTCTTATTTTATCTGATCATTATATCCTATCTTGTTCATTTGTGCTTTTGCAGCTGAGGATACTAGTTCATGAAACCATCGAAACTAGTCCTGTGAAAATTTGAAAATATGACGCTGATTTTTGTTGTTTGACTTCTGAATTAATATTGGTAGTTTTTTGTATAACAAACTCAAATAAATATAGGACCACCAATTAATGAAGGCAGCCATTTGGGGATAAATCCTAAGGAAACAAATCCAGGTAGAGAGGTGAAAATGGCCTATTTTCTGTGCATGTTTGGAGTAGCATGTTGTTTGATTAGAAATAGGTGAAGGAAATGACTGAATCTGAGAACAGTTTTCGTATTGTGTGCATAGGATTGGCATTTTTTCTTGGACAGTTATTTAAATAACTTATGCTAGTATATTGGATTTGCTATATATTGTTATATTCACATGCAACAATATTTAAGTATCTTATCTAGATTCTACATTATTAATTTTATTCTTTTGCATGTGTTATACTCTCATCTTATTCCTGTAAATATGAATGTCAATCATTTGTTCATTTCTTTAAATTCGCTTTTACATTCAAATTACATTTTTGTAATTTCAGATAGAGTATGGAGATTATAACGGTGACAAAGTGAGATGTAGTTCTGGACCAACAACTCCACAGCAACAAATGCAGAGTATATTAGAAAGATTTTATCCTGCTCGATATAGAGATAAAAGTGATGAAAAGTATGTGTTTTAGCATTAAAAATTAATTTCCATTTTTATGTATATATGTTTTACTCTGTAAGTAATTTATGTTATATTTTGAAAAATCATTTCTCATATTTTCTGCTGCATAAGGTTTCTAAAATACTTAACATTTTCCCATTAAACATGGGTAGTAAATTTTATATTGTGCTAAAGTGTCTTGTTACATGAGCTTTTGAATGAAACTGAAATTATTAGCCCAGAAAAACTATTAATTTTGTTTTTGCATTTTGCATTGGTTCACCATAAATGTCGGTTCACTTCAATTTGTTGCCACCAAATATTTTCACCCTGTGTTATATTTAAAGAAGTTAAATAATAAAGAATCTGCATAAATGTTTATGTCTCTCTCATTGTGATAAAACAGCGCTACCTAGACCCATCAAATTTTGAATAACGTAATCTTCCACCAAATATGGGCATCTGGAAGCCCTAATTTGAAAATTGTTTTATTATTGATTTCAGATTTTGTTTTCGACTGGCAAATTCATTGACTTCAAAGCAAGCAATGGCAACATTATGGGGAGGGGGGAAACATTTTTATCTCCAGCACATGAGACTGAGTATTGGAAATTCTAAAGATATGCTCATTTTAAAATTATTTTGCAATATTGCTGTTGAATTGAATTTTATGGTTTAATTGCAAAGAACATGATATTTAATAAATAATGTCAACACACAAAATGTTAAAAAATGTCCCTTTGGGCATAATATAAAATCTGAAGGCTTTCAGATATTCTTTCATATTTCCCACCCCTTTTTGTGTGTGTGTGTGTGAATGCATGCATGCTTGCTTGTTTGTTTGTTTGTTTGTTTTGCTGTAGTTTGAATTTTATTAAAGGTATTTTGTAGCACACATTTAAAATTACGTTTTTCATTCTCATGGTGGAGTGGAATGGGAATAAAGATTATGTATGACTCTTATTTAAGTAATATTTGTTTTTAATAGTTTAGTAGTTGTAATCGTGTGATAATAATAGAATGTACCTCTTTTTAGGCAATTATTAGAAAATATTAAAGAGAAATGGTCGAGTTTACGTGGCCGTAGTGTAATGGATTGTGTTAGAATATACCTCAATTGTGCCAGGAGATGGTCACTTTGTGGTGCCAAACTTTTTAGTGCCAAGGTAATATTTATTTAATAAATATTCAAACAGTTTTGAATTTCTCTAAATGTTTTTTAAAATAAAAGTAATCCCTTAATTCAAAGTTCAGACAACCTTTTTTTTAGATATTTTTGTGTGTATTGTTTGACAGACAATATTCTGAAAGTTGTTATACTTTAGTTTTCCTCTAAAACTCAAGATCATTTTTATGACAACATTATGATATATGTATATGACTGTGCTCTAATATATTATGTCTAGCCTTAAATATGATCACTGTGATTTACTTTGTGGGAGTATGCTACTGTGAAAGACAATCTGACAAATGTTAATATTCTCCAGTGAATGTCAGCATTCACATACTACTTTCTTTGTGAATGTCTGACATATTTATTAAATATTATTATTTCTCACTTGGACTTGCAAATGTCGACATTCAATGTGCACTAATGGTGAATTTTGAATGAAAGTATTTTTGTTGTGCAAGACAAAAATGCAGCTTTTTACTTTATTATTAAAATATATTATGATATATGTCAAACTAGGAGAAAGCTTAAGTAACAGCAAAATGTAAGTAACTGCTGAGTTTAAAATGAATGATTCATTTTAAATCAGAAAAGAAAATAATACCTTGTAATTAACTTACACATAAATTATGTGATTAATGTTATACAGTCTTGTTTATTGCAACAACTTAAGCTTACACTTTTAATCGTTCAAGAATCTCTTGCTTTTACAACTGCATTTAATCTTGGAATATTCTTCCTTCAGCAATGTATCTTTGGAAGAAATCTTATCTATGGAAAGTAACTTCTCTTCACAAATGATAAACTGATTATGGGTAAATGCATTTTGGGCATCTGAATGCCCATGGTCAACATCAGGGTCATGTATTCGTATGGTAGGTCCAATTAGATGATTTAGAGCATGAGGAAATTTTCTTTTAGAAGTTTCTTATATTTTCATTGCTTGCATATAAAATTCCCTTTTGTGACTGCTCTTTTGATAGAAATAAGATCATGTTGTTCAGTCAGGGCTTAAAATGAAAATGTGGTAGGTTGCAACTCCTCTTCAGTATTTTTCTCTGAAATATGGTTTCCGATATGGTCACTGTTAAAATTTTCTTCAAAAGTAGTAACAATTTTTGAGCTTTTCTGCATATCCTGATTGGCCCTTTCAACTGAGCCTTGTGTTTGACTATGATGAGGGTTTGAAGCATCTTAAGATCTTTCCAGTTAATCCATAGTCCAAATATTACTTGATTACTGACTTCTTCACCATTATCAGAATGCAATATAGCTGGAGCACCAGTTGAAAAAAATAGTATTTGAAGATGATATACAGGTAGTCCTACAACACGGCATCCTATAACACGGTTTAGCTATAACACAATTCATAAATTGCGAGAACCCGCCTACAACACGGTTTTTCTATAACACGCTTTTGCTCTAACACGATAAGAAAATTGCCCAAACAATCTAAAGAAATTTAACGAACTCAGCGCGAAGTTTTTCCATATTCTGCAAAACACCCATATAGTCATTTAACACATAAGAAACCTTGTTTCTGCCAGTTGTTTTCCAAGATCCGATAGCCATAAAAACAAATGTTCTCAGATGACCCATATGAACAAATGTAACCAGATAACAATGAAGAAACCTCACTATCATAGATGGGACTCTTAAGAATGTAGAAGCGGACTAGACCCAAATAGTCTAAGTAAGCTGCATGGGTGTTCAGACTCTGCTCTCAACTGTCAACTATAGTAGAAGGTGAATAACATGAGGTCACAGTAAGCAACAACCTGCACGTTCAGCTTCCAAAATTCGAATCCGTATCTTCATGGTCTGAAAACAAAAGTTTCTCACTCTGCTGGTCGGCAGTCAGTGTCAAGCAACAATGTGTTAAAGAATAACTTTTCCATCTTTAAGACATCAAGTTTCAGACCCCAAACATGTCCAATAAAGATAAAAAAGCCATGTTTAAGAGGAATTTCATTTCTTTAGAAGTAGAGATACAAATCTTGGACCATCTTTTAAAAGGAAAAAAGGCATCTCACATTGGAAAAAGTTTTAATTGGAATGAAGAAACAGTCCGGACTATTAACAAAAATGAAAAAGAAATAAGAAATGCAGTGTGCAATTTGTCCCCAGGAGCACCAATAATTGAGAAGATGGAAAAGGCACTCACAGCATTTGGATTGATGATAGCTGTCAAAAAAGAATTTCGTTGAATGGTAATATTATTAAACAAAAGGTACTAAAAATTTGACGTATCCTGAAAAATTTCAAAATATTATAGAAGAACAAGGTTACACAGCAGTTCAAAGTTTTTGATGCCAACAAAACTGGGCTTTGGAAAAAAAAAATGTCCAGTTAGAACCTTTATATCGAAAAAAGAAAAAAACTGCATCCTGATTTAAGGTGTCTAAAAATTGTCTAACGCTATTTTTGTGCAGTATGGCTTTAGACTTTATGACAAAACTCTTGTTAGTTTATAGATCTTTAAATCCTCGTGCACTTAAAAGCATAAATGAAAACACCTTGCAGGTACATTGGAAAGCAAATCCAAGAGCTTGGGTAGCTGGAAATATATTTAACCCTTTGACGGTTAGGGAAATGAGCAGTTTTCGTTTACTTAATTCGCACAGTATTACGAGTGAACAGTAGTTGAAAGTGGCAACTGTTCTTCCGAAAATATTAGTCTTCTCTGGTGATGCCATAGATAGCTCTCCTCACACGTTTTAAAAATTTCTTAAAGTACTTGTAGTACATAAATAACAGTTTTTGTGTACTTTAAAATAATTAATAAATAGTAAATTATAAATAATTATAATCAATTATATAAATAATAGTTAATTATAAATATAAGACAAGTATTAAATTGAAAGGACTAAATAAATACAACTAATGTAAAACTTTATGAAGCATTTAAATACAGTAATTACCTAAAAATCTTTTTGTGTGTGATATACTGTAAAACTAAATCGTAAACTAAACTAACCAGTAAAACTAAATCAGCTAGAAACGTGAGAACTTGAATCAATTTTACACCACTGTCAAACACTCAAAAATCTTCCTTATAGCTTGAATTGTCTTCTGAGCTTGATATACTGTGAACAAATTCTTCATCAGACTCAAAACTTGATAAGCTTTCTGTATCACAATCATAATCGCCATCATAATTATCTAACTTTTGCTTTTGAGCCATTTTAGTTTACAAACACCCTAAGAAAGGTGCCAAAATATGTATAAAAAGAACAAGATAAAAAAAAAAAAAAAAAATTCTCCTTCATCATGGAAAGAAATCATGGAATGCATACTGCCATCTGTAGACAGTAAACTAACTAAATTTCATGAGTAGGATTCCTTTTTAACATAATCAATGCAGAATAATAATGGCGAATGAGCTCAGCTCGTCAGCGTGCATTGGAGAAAAATTTCACTAAGCGAGTAGTGCTCGTTTCTAACCATTTCAGTCGAAATCTTGCTCCCGAGTACAACTCGTTTGCATGCATTATGAGGCACAATTCGATTGGGAGCTGAACTTGTTCATAACTATCAAAGGGTTAAAGATTGGTTTTTAAATTGTTTTGTGCCAGACGCTGAACGTTATTTAAGGCAGAAAAATTTGATCTTCAAGGTGCTTATTACTATTAGATAATGCTCCATGTCACCGACAAGATTTTAATCATCCCAATGTTAAAATACTGTTCCTAACACCTACCACTAATTTGTTACTCCAACCATTGGATTAAGGTGTTATTTATACGAGGCGTATTCGGAAACTAAGTACCGTTTTGAAAAAAAAAAAAAAAAAAATAGTAAAACAATTTTTTCGAATCCAATTTTATTTTTACGTGAAAATACATGTCTTAAACTATTTTTCAACATAGTTTCCGGCAATGATCAAACTTTTGTCATGGCGGGTGACCAATTTTTGTATACCATCTTCAAAGAAACTTCCCGCCAGTTTCGATAATTACGACTCCACAGCATTTTTCGTGTCATCGTCAGATCCAAAGCGCTTGCCACCAAGCTCGCGCTTCATGTGCAGGAACAAGTGATAGTCGGACGGCACCAAGTCTGGGCTGTACGGCGGGTGATCGAACTGCTCCCAATGAAACTGTCGAATTAACGATTGAGTGACACCAGCAGTATGGGGCCGAGCATTGTCATGGAGCAACACTCCTTTACTGAGCATTCCTCTTCGTTTGTTTTGAATGGCACGCCTTAGTTTTCTTAAAGTCTCACAATATCGTGCCGCATTAATGGTTTCACCTCTGGGAAGAAATTCAGTAAGCAAAATGCCTTTCCTATCCAGAAGACAGTGCACATGATTTTTTGTGATGACATTGTCACTTTGAACTTTTGTTTTTTTGGAGAATGAGTGTGTCTCCACTCCATCGATTGTTGTTTCGATTCTGGTGTGAAATGACACACCCAAGTTTCATCACCTGTCACAATTTGGTTTAAAAAGTTTTCTCCCTCATCACTGTACCGCGTGAGAAATGTCAGGGCACTAACAAGTCGCTTTGTTTTGTGAACATCAGTAAGCATTTTTGGAACCCATCGGGAACACAGTTTGCGATAATTCAAGCGGTCAGACACAATTTCGAACAAAACAGTACGTGAAACTTGTGGAAATGCCTCTGAAAGAGTTGTCATTGTGAAGCGTCTGTTCTCATGAATTGCTTCATCAGCTTTCCTTACCAAATCATCGATGGCAACAGAAGGCCGACCACTCCGAGCGTCGGCGTGGACATTTGTTCGACCTGCATTAAACATTCTTACCCACTTTCTCACCATTCCATCACTTATTGCATATTCACCGTAAACTTCTGTCACTTGACGATAAATTTCGCCCGGTTTAACATTCCTCGCATTCAAAAATGTAATCACGGTACGAATCTCACAGTCAGCAAGAGAACTAATTGTCTTAAACATTTTGAATGTGCAAGCAAACTGAAAACACAACATAGAGGAACCAAAATGGCGACAATTGAAAGTCAGTGAACAAGAAAGACTAGTGCGCATGCACGGGACGCCTACCACAGTGCTGCGACGGCGCTAGATTGAAACGGTACTTAGTTTCCGAATACGCTACGTACCTTTAAAACATATTAAATAGAAGAGCATTACAGTAGATTTTAGACGTAACCGATTCAAAATCAATTAATCTAATGGAAGCTTGGAAGACATTTTCAATAGAGAACTGAATCGACATTGTATCTTTGTCGGTAAAAGAACTGAAAGCATCAATGTTAAATGCATGTTAGAAGAAGATATGGCCCTCTTCAGTTGAAATAGAAAACATGTGTGAATCATCAAAAAATGAAATTGGTGGCGTATTAGAACTTGCTAAATCAATCGAAGGCAAAGCTATTGTGGACATGATAAATGAGGACGTTCAAGATTTATTAGCGGAAGAAGAAATTGACGAAGATTTGATAGAAATGGCATCCGAAGCTGTAAATCAAATCGATTCTGAGGACACTACCACTGGTGAAGATTGTGAAGTTAATAATTTTTAACATTAAAAAAATTAAAAGGAAGGCCTAAGCTTAGCCAAAAATCTTGAATTATTTTTCTTGTGTGCAAACCCTTCTGCTGAAATAAGCCGAAAATTCAAAAGAGAGCTGCAAAACCATCTAACTCTACATTAAAAAATTTTAAATGGCCCGCTAAGAACTAGTAAGCAAAGTAAAATTACAAATTTTTCAAAGAGGGAAGAAAATGCCAGAACTTTAAATGAAGAAAGAAATTCTGAAAGAGCAAGCAATTTCATTCCATCGAAAAAAAGTTTTCTGTTGGTTATACTGAGCAATGACAATGAAGAAATTTATTAAACCAAATCTGCGTTAAATTAAAATATGTAATATTTTTGTTTTATGTTATGCATATATATTTTTAATAAAAATTAGGTTGTTCATGTATTATTAGAAAAAAATATTTGTTTTTAATAAGTTTCCGTAACGTAACCTCCCTTTTTATGCTGCCTCTGTGTCTCACACAACATGGCATTTTCTAGGAACCTATCTATCGTGTTATACGAGGGTTACGTGTACTAGTTTTTTTCAGTTGTCTTAGTTTTGGCAAGTTGTAACTGGAACAAATTTCATTAAATTATGTGTTTATATTCGCAGTCCCTGGGTGACTGCTGGTATCTTTGACAACTTCACATCTTGAGAGTTTAACTCCCATCTGCCCCTTGGTTTCCCAACAGTACCTTTTTTAGGTGCACTGTGTTTTATTTGACATAGTTTACATAAATTTAAATACATTACAACTTTGTGCGTAGTATTTTTGTGTTTAATTTGCAAGTCTTTAAGCATATGTATACTCCCTTCATGGTCTATTCTGATGTGCATTTCGGATAATATACTGAACAGTTTATTATTGGCAATGTAATTCTATGTATTCATTTCTTCTGATTTTAATGGCATAATAAACTTCTCTTGACCATTATTTTTTTAAATGCCAAAACCCTTTAATCATGTGTAATCCAAAGTTGTATTGCACTTTAGCAGAAATAACTTTTTAGAATATTTTTTAGAAAGATAAAAAGACTTGTCTTTTTTTTTTACTTCCAATTAATGCATTTAACTTATAAAAAAAATCATGATTCACAGCAATAGCCATTCAAAATAATTAGGATACTGGATTAAAAAAAAAATGATAACTAAGCAAACATCGCATGTTCCAGCAAACCTAGCATAAGACTGACAAACAGCAGAATGTTTGAAAGGCTAACAGATATCATGTAGCAGAATTGCAGCAGAACAAAGGATTTGGAGTTTTTCTTACATCTCTCTCACCTTGCTGTTTTGACTCTCATCAGAGCATTTCTGTTTTTGTTGACATATAATGGCAATGACCTGAATCCATAAGAATATAGCCAAATATTTGGTCTTTCATAAATGTATTTAGTAGTATGTCTCAACATTCAATGGAGAATAATGATTTCTCTAATTTTTTGTCTTTCACAATAACAAATACATAGCTCAATGCATAAATGAATTACCCAGTAGTATTATTAAGGTTATAATTATATATATATAATATGTGTTAACTTTTATATCTTTCTTTGATAGTTAATTTTGCTGTGTTTCCCCTCCCCCCATCCATTAACAAAAGTGATAGTCCACTTATTTTTAAAAGTGCCCAGAAAGCTGTCTAATATGAAGACATTAGATTACATCATATGTCTAATATGAAGATTTACAGTTCAGATGATTTCATTCTTCTATAGATTTAGGTCATCTTAAGGAGTTGATGGTCAACATTAAGATTTGTTTATGTTCTCAGAAACACTGGTCAAAGGTAGTCTATAGGAGATTTACAGTTCAGATGATTTCATTCTTCTATAGATTTAGGTCATCTTAAGGAGTTGATGGTCAACATTAAGATTTGTTTATGTTCTCAGAAACACTGGTCAAAGGTAGTCTATAGGAAGTAGTTGCCATAAGAAACTTTCATTGTAATAATTTTATTCTCAAAATATACAACCTCACTTTTGCAAATTCTTTTTGTATTAGCATGACAGCCTGGTGTGGGCCATGGCTCTCCTTAGAATTCTATGTTACTGTTCATTTGGATAGCGTTTTCTACTCGGTAGTTTTATGAAAACCAAACTTTCCAGAATCCAAATTTACATTTCTTTAGTTTTCTTTCCATATCATTTATGGGACACCAGCTTGATTTCTTTTTCCTTGGACTTTGAGACAGTGAATATGTTTACAGGACAGAGTGTAAATCATAAACCTAAACCATAATCCCTTACATGGACAAGCAACTTTGCAGAATGAAGGAATTTTTTGGTTCAAGGAAGAGCACCTCTACCTAAAAGATCAACATCTTTCTATGGCTAAAATCTAAAATTACAATAGTATTGGCCATTCTTACCTTATTCTTAAACTAATCATTTGGTAAACATTTGGGTATAAATCTATCAAAAAGCGTTATGGACAAAGTTTTAATGGAAATTTGGATTCCTGTCTTTATCATGCATCAAATGAGAAAATATGACAGTTCCTGTCCATCATGTCCCTTATTCCTTAATGTCAGTATCTAAAATATCTTGTCTAATTCTACCAAACTCTTAAAAAACTAATTCTATACATCTCCCATATCTTGATATACAATGATGTAGCCATATGCAGTATGAAATAAATATTCACTAGCATACAACATAGATATCCCTACCACTTTCTATCCAATTATCTTTCTACCCATTATGTTCATATTAAAATTTAAATATTTAAACATATCCATTATGTTCATATTAAAATTTAAATATTTGGTAGTTTACTATCTTTAACCCTTTCGAGACAATGCATCTTTGTTTAAGACATTCCCTTATGATGAATGGGAGTCGAAAGGAATCATCCCACAGAATAGGGGTTTTGCATCACTAAATCTAACTTAGAAAGAAAAGAAGAAAAATTAAGAAAGAAAAATTTTTAAAAAAAGGTTCAAGATTGTAATTTTTGGTACCGTTCTACTTAAGCTGTCATGTATGTTAAAATTAGCATTTAATAATCTTTTTTCTTCACACTATATGGATATATATAAAAAAAAATGCTTGGTTTGGGAAATAATTTTCGGATGCATTATTGAATTTATTCTGAAGTTGGCAAAATATGTTAATTAATAAAAAAATACAAGAAAGACTATTTACAATTTGAAATAACAGAATCTTTCACGGGAAGTGGAAGGCAAGCACTCAGTTTGACAAAATGCCCATATCACAATCACTAGAATTATCACTTTCTAACTCTTTAGAAAATGAATCATCATTCTCATCCTTGTCACTAATTGGCTCATTTACCATGGATATACCCTTCCTCTGGTAAATAGTGCTTGTTCTCCCTAATGCACATAAGTCTAGGCTTTCCGAAGTAAAAAGGAAAGTACCCATAACATAAGCAATAAAAGCAACATAAAGCATAACAGAATCCCACACAGTAACCCTAGAAAACCCTACACAGTAGTGGAAAAACAGAATTAAAAAAAGGATTTGGAGGGACATCAGAAATGTGAATGTTTATATCACATGGCAAGTTAAAGCCAAGCTCTGTTTGTTTACAAAACCCCTTTCTTCCCTCACAACAGCCGACACTAAAGTTAGGTAGAATATGATCAAACTGAAGATCAGGATCCTAAATTACGTTAAGTTCAAAAGTAATGGACACAGGATGCCATCCAGTGGTCTTTAAAAAATGGTTCAGCTTAAAATGCACATATGCATCAACTGTCCCACATACTCATTCTCCAAAGATTCATGTCTGGGATCCCTGGTTGTGAGAGATGTTCATAGGGAATGCATATATGGGATCCCCATCCGGAAAGAATTAAAAGTTATTTGAAAAGGCTTACTCTTTGTTATTACAGTAAATGCGACATTGTTTATAATTAATTATTCTAAATAGATTCAGTATATATTGTTCATAGCTTATTAGTTTAAACAAATTCTAAAAATTTAAGAAATCCTTTAAAAGTGATAAACATTCAGTTCCCAATTTTCTATGATTTAACAAGTGATGGCAATTTTGCAGCATATAATAAATAATTTAAATGCAGTGTGATTCATAAAGAACTTGTAAATTTTAATGTAAATAGTCTTTTGCGGGCCTTTGTAATATATTGATCTGTTGTACATTTGTAGTACATTTGTAGTACATTGATTGTCTTTTGTAGTATATTGATTTGTGCATCAAAACAATTTATATAGTTGAGTAATTTATATGAATATAAATTTATCAATTTTATTATTTAGTAAATTCCTTTAATTGTGATATAGTGTAAGAGTGATTGATGTATATTATTTTCTTGTAGACTCAACTTAAACAAGGTGAACCTATTTCTGTGTGGTTAGCAGTCTCCGAAGATAGCATTACTCTGCTAGATTTTACAACAATGGTAAAGACACATGAAAGTTATGCTAAATTATTTAGTTAAATAAATTATGCAGTTGTATTTGTAAAATAGAGGAACACTCTGAATGAAAAAAGTTAGAAATAAGTTTGCTATTTAATACTTAGTTATGTTTTCTAAAATGAAAATATGTATTATGTTGTAAAACAGGTGTTTACACACAGGGAAAAAAGTCATTGTTATATATTATCTCATAACAACTCTGAAAAAGTGTAATTTTGGTCTTTTAAATTGTTTGTTAGCTTTTCATAACTTAAAATGTAAAACAAACACATAAAATAATTTGTTATACTTGATTTTACCTCCATTATGTACAATTTTTACTTTCTATATCTTGTTCATCATTGTTTACTTTTCTATATATGTTTCTTTCAATGCTTTTGATTACAGAGCTTTAAACATTTTGTTGAAATCAATTGTAGGGATATTATTTCTTTCATTATGTTTCGTTATATGTCCAAAGTGGTTTCACAGCAATGTATAAGGTAAGATTTCATTTTAAAGGATAAAAAATAGTCCATTAACACCCATTCTGGCCAGCTCAACAAATAATTGCAAACATTTATACATTTTTTTGACATTTATTGCTGAACAACAGTTCCACTGTATAAAGAAGACTTTATTGCTTCTCCTTGTTTATTGTCTAAATCAGTGACAATAGATATTAATTACTTAGGATAAAACAAAACAATTTTTTGAAAACTTCTCTTCTTACATTTTTTTAAAAAACTTTTAATTGGGGGAAAAGCAAGCAGAGATTTAGCAGTTTCACCAGGATATGTGAGAAAACCTCTCTCCTAAAAATATGTTAATGCACTGTATACATGCATATTAATTTGTTGTTATATTATCTACTTGTATAGATCAAAATTCTTGAATTTTGAAAGTATTCTACTAATCTTTTTAAAGTTTAGAAAATGTCTTTCATTTATTAATTAGCAATCAGCTGCTTTGCAGCTGAACAAAGTAAAGTATCATCACTGAAAGTGCTTGTATTGAAAAAGAATTGACATCAAAGAACATTGTTTATTTATATTTAAATATTATTTGTATTGGGTCATCCAAAAAATTCTGCAGTTTCTTACGATAAATAGAAATGAAGCAGTACTAAAACATGAAAATTTTATTGAATCACATAAGCATCATTCTGTTTTTTATGACTTTCTGCCAGCTAGAATTTTTTTTTTTTTTTTTTTTTTTTTTTTTTTTTTATATATATATATATAGAGAGAGAGAGAGAGAGAGAGAGTCTTAGGTGTATTTGTAAAAGAAGTCCTTGAGGTGTTGTTTGACAGTCTCCAAAGAAGTAAATTTCAGGCTGTTCAGAGAATTTTGAAGTGAGGTGTAGAATGAAAATCTAAGGGGGCAAGATTTGATGAATATGGGGGATGACACAAAGCATCCTACCCATATTCAATAAGTCGTTGGCTGATGTTGATCGAAATGTGGGGCCAAGCATTGTCATGATGAAGGACAAAACCTCAACAGTTGGTCAATTCAGGGCACTTTGTTTTGATTTCTGCTTTTAAAAACTGCCATTTGGGAATATTTTTTCTGATCTATTTATTCTCTTAGTAAGTGGCAACCTTTCATAATATACAATCTCGTTGTAGTCCTGACATGCACAAAACATTACTTTGTTATGCTGCTTTCTCTCAGAGTTATTAAAGGAGATTCTTTTGGCTAACCCCATGATTTTTTTCTTGTAACATTATTACAGTCAAAAGTCGTTAATCTGGACTCGTCGGGACTTCGGCGATTCCGGATTATAGATCATCAGTTTAAATCTCGTAAGATGGCATGCAGAAATTCTAAAATTAAAAATATGAAACCGTAATTTATGAAATAAAGAACAATTATGATCTAAAGGGTATCAAAATTTGCAAAAAGAAAAAGCTTAATATTTATTTGTTTACTTCATTAAACATTTCTTTCAATGTAAGTTGTTTAAGTTTGCTTCGTTTCATGTGATAATACTTTCTCTTTAATTCTATTGAACAGACATAATTTCTTGTTCAGTTACAAAGTTCCGCTGTTCAAGTCCTATAATTGTTGTGTCGAGAACACCGACTAATTTGTCAATCGAAATTTTTTCATTTTTAATAACCTCTGTTACTTTTCTTCGCTATCGGAAGCGAATTATAATGACGAGGAACTTGTTTTAAATCATATCAAAGAGGGAGCATATCGAGATGAAACGCTACATTTGGTAAGGAATTATAAGCCAAATAAAATAAAAACATCTGCGCTGAAGATAAGGATAGTGCTGACAGATCAACTTCCAATTCATTACGCGGCCCGCTGCGGCGTTCCCCCTGCCGAGCAGCGTGAAATTAATAAACAGATTTCGGATTTCGAAACATACTTTTCGCTTTAGATCCTTTACATATTAACAAATATATATCGGAAATTCTATTTGATATAATCGAAAGTTTAAACTTACTTTTATAAAATTGCTCTTACAGTCTGCAAAAAATAATAAGCCGAATCCAATTTGAAAATTAAGGAACAATGCAATCATCAACATTAACTGAAATAGATAATTAGATAATTTTAGCTTATACGTCCATTATACATAAAATGCGCACGCGAAAACATATTCTGCACTTGCGCACACTCACATGTGCAGTCATAAAAGGTCTTACGCGCAAGCGTAAACGCCTATGCGCATGTGTCAACGCGGCACATGCACAGAAAGTTTTTAGTTTTGAGGTCCGGATTATAGATCATTCCGAATTATGGGTGTCCGAATTAACGACTTTTGACTGTATATGGTATTTATTTCTCATCTCTAGTAATGAGCCATTTCGAAAAGTAGCTTCTTTATTTCTTCTTAGCAAAGAATCATATGCTGAAACCTGAGCAAGCATATTCTGCTTTCTTAAAGTATGGCATACCCATTCATGATAGCAATTTAAATAACTCATTCTTCTTCAAATGATGATACACTGAACTCTTTTAAATATGTAGTCTGTCCAAAAATTCTTGAACTACACAGTGTGGAGTTTCAGTGATAGCTTCATATGTTCTTGTTTACAGAAGATGATCATCTAAAGCGAATGTCATCTTTGAAGCTAAAATTTCTGTATTTCTCAAATCACCTTCAAACTGTGTCATCAAGAACTGAATAAATTTCATGAGCAGTCTGACTAGAACTTTTTCATTTTTTAAAATGAAAGAGGTATGATATGATAAAAATGAACTTTTGGATTCTCTATTCCTACCTCTGCACTGAAACACAAATTATGCAATAACACATGCTAGACTTATGCAATGTGAGCAGAAAGACTATATTTAAACATACATTTCAATCATGGTCATTCCTTTATCAGTAGTAAAAACATGCTTCGATTTGAAAAATCACAGAACTTTCCAAATGACGCAATATTTAATGCATTAAGAAAATTCTGAAAATTTAATGATTTTCTTTTGTGAATAAGTGTTTTGCATCAAAACCATTTCTCTTTTCCAGCAACCATTGGTACGTTATCCATATGGGGTCATTGTTACTTTTGGAGGTTGCCGTGATGATTTTATGCTTGTTGTGTGCCAGACCACTGACCAGAAAGCCTCAGGAGAGGGTATCCAAGTCACAGAAAGATTACTCTTTTCCATGCCTAAACCTAAAGTGAGATATTTTTTATATATTTATTACATTCAGTCCCCCCTCCTTTATAGACTATAAATTCACCCAATTTTCAAATACTTTTATTAAATAGGATTCTTAACTAATTGCACAATTGCTTTGGGATACAAAAAGAATTCTTCCCATCCCTTCAATTTCAAATCCCATTTAAAAAAAAAGCTATAATTGATTGGTCTTAGAAAGAATAATCCTCAGATGAACTCAAAATTAAGCCCCCTGCCAAATCGTAAACAAGTTTGAGTATAATATATATTTAAGTATATTTTGGAAGAAATTAAAAATTGCTGCTCCAGTAAACATGCAAATGATAAAGAAGGGAAAAAAACTTGCATACTTGGCAGGAGACTTGCATTCATTGCTTTATAGACTGTTTGCATATATTATAAGATTAAACCTAATTTACATGTAAAACTACGCATTTATTTAGCCTTTCTAGACTACAGTCGACATAAGCTTTGTTCAGAGTATAAACCGAGCTTCATTGCTAGGCGACCATGTTCTGCTACATCGCAAAAAGTACTTTAAGAATTTTGCCAAAATCTTCTTAAACTTTTTTATTCATGTCAATTTGATATCTTATATTATGGTGATTGATTCTTTACCAACCTATTGCAGCAAAGCTAACATGAACTGGCATTCAGTCAGTAGTTTTACTGAGCCAACTGTGCATTTATGCATGCGTAATTTTGCCTTCACTTACTGGCTGTGGCTTAAATCCTATTACATGGGTGTGAACAGAATTCTATCTTTAAGTTATGAAACCATATGATCACAAAGCTGTCTGAAGGAAGCCTTATCGACCTTGCCTGGCCAAATAATTATTCAACTCATTCATTGAGTTGAATAAACTTGAATGAGTAAAAATCAAGTCATTCAAGTTTATTTTGCTCTACAGCTGTTGATATAAACTAAAATTGACAAACTTAAAATTACTACTCCTTGCAGAATCTGTAAGTTTTAGACATATACCAAAAAAAAAAAAAAAAAAAAAAAAAAAAAAACTGTTATTTAATTTAGTAGTTTAATTAATTTAGTAACCTAGCTTCTTTAATTGTTATGACCTTTAAGCACAAATAACAGCAAATGTCAGCACTGCAAAATCTATCTATCCTTAACTTTTACTTCCACTTGTTATGTAAAAGCTTCCTAATATATACTTCTGGTGGAGCTGATGGAGAAAAATAAACCTTCCAAACTGAACTGTTATTTTTAGTGGAAAACCAAATTATTTAGTGTGATTTGCCTTATTCTAGTTATCTGGAATAATTTGAACCTGCAATAATTTGAGATTTAAACCAACCTTTTGGCATGGTGGTAGAGGAGCTAGCTGAAATAACCTTGAGCTTGAGTTTGAATCTCAGAAAAGGTATGGATATTTCTAAGTATATAGTATATCTGTACTTGAGGGCACTTCAAATACTTTCGAGTCAAATGCTCTCCTGGAAGATTGATAAAAGGTAAAGAAAGGGAGGGAGATCTATGTCCCAGATGATTCTTCCTCAAAATTGAGATTGGAGCAGGACAATTTGTACTATCACCTGTAAGGGAGCATTCACACAAGAATTTAGCTATTGCAGCTTAGTAAAGAGTAAAAGCCATTAACTTTGTTCACACCATGGAATACAGTTTTAACTCTAAATCATGGAAGGTGAATGTGCAGCTGGCACATCAAAATTGTTGACTGGATATCAGTTTGTGTTTGCTTTGCCATGATTGGTCCTTTCTTTTTTATGCCATCTTGATGCTAAGTTGAAAAGTTAGAATATTTACACAGAATTCTTATAACAGTTTTCATGACGACAGGGTCTAGTTACCTCGCAGTGAACTTCAGCTTGTACTATTTGTGACTGTAAAGCCCTTGTGTGAATGCTTCCTTAGGTGTCTAAGCAGTGGCAGGTACAAGACCACAATAAAAGCACAATAATTTCTTGGCCACAATAAAAATCGTGGCCTCGATATGATGTTATTGTCAGAAAAGTGACATAAGTCACAACAACATAATTTGAAATATGCCAGTATGTTTTTATGTTCAAAAATAAGGTATAGAGCCTTTTAGTTTTATTGCATTTTCAGATTCTGGAAATAACCTTATTGGTAGCAGACTATATGAATGCAATTGGAAGAACTGGAAGTGTTTCTGCCACACTTGCTCGTCTAGATAAGATTCGATCTTCCTCTAAATTCCGCTCTTCAATTGCCCCAGATAGTTTTCCCCGTGGAGTTCACGATGCAAGTGGTCTACATGATAACAAAGCTATGTCATCCTCTATCGAGCTGGATAACAGACGAGGCGCTTTCAGTAAAAAACGAGCAGGAAGTGACTGTACGTGATCAACATGTACTCATCATCATTAAACATCTGTTTTTAGTTTTCATTTTTGATTAATGTTGTTCATATATTGGGGCAGATGGATATTTCTAAAAAAAAATTGCTTCTAGTGAATGTTTTAATCATTTTTAAAGCCCAGTTTTTTTTAAATTTATTTTAAACAAAATAATTTGTTTGTAATTCCTGTATGTATATTTGTCAGAGATAATGTGATTTTGCTTATTAAGCTGCCAGCTGATGTTTTTAGAAATTATGATTATATAAACAACTATCTTGTTGAGCATTTCTTTTATGCATTTACATAGCTGCCAACTTTCCTGATTTTACCATCATGTTTTTTTTTTTTTTTTTTTTTTTTGTCACATCTTCCGATTTTTAATTTTTAGCCTTTACTAAAGAAATTGTCTCTCGGCGATAAATGAAATTTAAATTGTGCAAATTCCATCTCCCCATCCATAGTGATTTTCAGCATAATTTATCTTCTGAAATTTTATCTGAGTTGAAGTGTTTTTATTTTCTGTAAAACTTTTTATGTATATTAAACTAATATATAATCAATTAATATTTGTATTTAATTTTGTTTAACATCAATAAATACTATTACTAAGTTATCGAATTAAGTATGTACATTAATTATTAGTTTCATTTTCATAGTATTTAAAAGTATTTTCATAAATAAAAGCTTTTCTTCTGTTTCCTTAGTATAAAATTATAAGAATATTACGGAATGAAATTAGTGAGAAAACATAAAACTTAGAATATCTAATTCAATATTAATATATTTTACATTAGAAACGCATTATAAATAATTAACTTGAATCATGCATTGCAAAATAAATTTAAGTCAGTTTAGTTCTTTCTGAAATAGCATTGCCACACAGCACAAAGTCCTCCTGGATTTTCATATTTCATGGTTGGCAGCTATGCATTTAAAGGGGGGGGAATCTTTCCTTAAAAATTGAGCACATTTCTTGCATTAAATTCACCAAAGTTTATTTCATATATAAACATAAAATCATAACATTTATTTTATAATTAAACATTCATCAGAGGTGCTAATTCATTTGATATATAAGTATTAGATTCTTTTTTTTTTAGTAATTAATTTTCAAGACGTATAAACAAGTGAAAAAAAAAACGGTTATAGTACATGTACATCCGCTGCAACAAATAATGTTTTATGTTGCTTAGATTTTTATATTTGTTATTTATTTTGAAATGTGTCCAATTTAGTTTTGATTGGCAATAATTATTGCATTTAGTGTTTATCATATTTTTGTCATCATTTACATATCTTTTGCATATCTAAACATATTAAATGAATTACTAATGCATTTTCAAAGATTTATTAAGTTATAGCATTTGCAGCTGTATCTTTCTATTATATAGTTATTTGTACAATATGTAGATAACTTTGTATTTATAAATTGTAAAATGATAAAAAAAAAATTACACCCCAATTTTGTGCCCTTAACATGATTTTTGATTTTCACAAATACATGTTTTGTGTGTTTTTTATGTATCAACCAAAGATAAAAAGAAATTATTGTTTTATGTATTTCCACATTGTTTACATCCATGTGAATCCATTGAAACAGTACCCATAACAATCTATTGTCTTGATGTTGTAACAGTCCAAGCCTAACTTACAACTTAGTGGCTCTCAGGTGCTTGTAAAATCTCTTGGAATATAGTCAATCTAACTGCAATAATGGCTCAAATTATTCCTAATCTTGGTGCTGTATATCAGTTTGATCAGTTGATGTTAAAGTAGTGATGGGGAATTTCACAAAGATAGGTTCTGGAACACCTTTGTAACAATCCAAGTAGGAAAACCAATCTTTGTAAAGTTACGAACATAATGATGCCAAAAATAAGAAATATATTTCAACCACTTTTTTAATTATCATTTTGAAAATGATTAAAAATATCATGTGCTCTTTATTTCTTTGAAAATGAGTATTATAGTACAAACTCTGAAATCCGGACGTCCATTATCCAGACCTCAAAGCCACAAACATTTTTTTTTAATTAATGCTTCACACATGCACATTTGATTTTTTCATCCATAATAAAATGTGGAGATTTTAACTTAAAAATTCTGATTCTTAATTTCACTTAAGCACCAAATAAAATACCTTGTTATGGAAAAACAATCATGTAAGCATAAATTTGTGAGATTAATAATTTGGCTCCATAGCTGAGTATCTGCTTGGCATACAATCTCAAACCGAAACATTCACCTATTTTATATCCCTGACACCGACCTGGCAAGTCATTATTTATACTATTTTGCTTTCATCACCGCATGTTTATCAATACATAACAGCTTCAGTAATAACTCATGCTGTGATGTCTAAACTTTTTTTATATTAGTAATTGAATAACAAAAGTATGGCAACTTTTTATACTAACATTACGCTTGGCGATGATTATAGATTTTTAAATGCACTAAGAAATGTTGACGAGGAAAAATTCTTTTCATATGCTAAAAATAGATTTTGTTAATGAAACTCATAGGCCAAAAGATTACATTTAGTGCTATTTTAATTAAAAATAGTTGATGTTATTCACCATAAACCCAGAAGCGGCTACAGAATATGTCGGCATCAGATGGCTGAATTTAGGGAAGACGAAATTTTTGGAATTTGGGGAAGCACCGAGCGGCAAAATTAAGGGATGAGAAGTATTTATGATTTAGGGAAAGCACTGGGATCCAAAGTTTAGGCATGGTGGAAATTTAGAACTTAGGAAAGCGCTTTGTAGCAGAATTTATGACCGGTAGTGGCTGCACCAGGCGGTATCGAGCACCGGCCCTAGATAAAGCCTTAAGTATATGTGGGAGTTTTATTTATTTAGTACTCAGATTGGTTTGAAGCATGTACAAGAAATAAACGTAGGTATAGTAAATAACTAAACTAATACGATTCAGGCTTAATTCAGTATGCAATAGGAGCAAGACAAAATTTAGCGAAACAACTTGGCTTTCCTCACCAATCTTGTGATACACAGCTAATAATGTATAACGGATGCTATTAAGTTAGAATAAAATTATCTTTACTGATACTAAGGCATTTCAATTAATGCAGCAGACTGCACCGCTCCCTGATCTTCTAATTTGATCCAGCTTATTATTTTTTGCAGACTGTTATTATTACGGCAATTTTATAAAAACTAAGTTTGAACTTTTGATTATGTCGAAAAGAGTTTCCAGTTCTGGAGTTGCCAAAGGATTTACAAAGCGAAACCATGTTTCGATGTCCATTAAACAAAAAATGGAATTGTTGCAAAAAATTTGATAAAAGCATATCCGTCTCAAAATTATGCGAGGAGTATGGCATTGGAAAGTTCACTGTATATGACACAAGAAAAAGGAACTTTTTTAATTTTTTGTGGAAGCATCTTAAACTTACATTGAAAGAAATGTTTAATAAAGTAAACAAATAAATATTAATCTTTCTTTTATAAATTTTGATACCCTTTAGATCATAATTTTTCTTTATTTCATAAATTGCGATTTCATATTTTTAATTGTATAATTTCAACATGCCAACTTACCAGATTTAAATTGATGATCTATTATCCGGAAAATCCCCAATCCGGAATTGCCGAAGTCCCGATTTCGGACTTTGTACTGTATAATGATTGGTATAGAGACTGTTGCCCTTTAGAATGGACAAAGAAGAATGAAAATTGTTTGTCCAATCAAAATGTTGTTTCAATTTCATATATTATTAAGGCAATTTATCCATTTAGGGCATTTTATGGCAGTAATCAAGTTGATAGCAATGCTGGATGATGTTTTGAATGCCTTACCTTCTTATGGGTACCCAATATTTAAAATATTTTTATTCCTTTTTGATTGGGGCTTGGTCTTTAACAAATATTGCAAGCTATTATTCAAACAGTATTTTCAAGAAAATTATAGCTACATTTCTGATGGATTAAAAATTGATAGTTTTGCTGTAAACAACTAATTGGAAGTCTTGAACATATTCTTCATTTAGTAGTATGATAGATATATTAAATAAAAACATGGATATTAAAATATAAATTTCTTATTAAGTATCAAAATCTAGACTTAGTTTTATATGAATGTTCATACATATCATTACATAATCCATCTAATCAGACTGTATTTTCATGTTTTATATATTAATGAGCATTTTCATTTCCTGTAGTTCATTCATTGATAACTTTTTATCATAAAACATTTTTTTTATTTGTACCTTAGTTAAAATGAAATTTAAACATTTTACTTTTTATTGGCATTATAAGGAAGTAAACTAAACCTTGTATGTGAATGAATTCGGCATCTTATATAATTTTGTATGTGAATTAGGCATATCTTATTAATAATAATCACATCTTAAATTACTAAACAATAATTTAAATCATTTGTTTTAAATGTTTAGACTGATGTTTTTGTAATTAAAGTGATTTTTTCCCCCATCAGTACATTTTTGAAGATTTGAACCTCTAAATACGAAAGGTTTTAAAATACAATATTAACTGAAATTAATTAATATTCAGAAATTGTTCAGTTTCTAATACAAATTCTCTGGTACATTTTCATCATCAGAAAATGCTTTTCAAATTATCCAGGAGGATATGAATTTCATCACATTTTAATTTAAATTTGAAGTTTAAAGCTTTGATGCAAGCTTAATGTTCCCATCAATTCTCTGACTTGTTAAAAGGGCCCTAAGCCAAAGTTTTCATTCTTATACTCAATAAATTGCTGAAAGTAGTAAAATTTAAACCACTTTTTAAATGTAGGTAATTGCTAATTTAAAAAACATTTAAATGCTAGATTGCATATTCAATGCACCTCTGCTTTAATTCATATTACTATAGGATATTAATTCTAATTCATTTTAAATTCTACAAAATTTTTAATTAAAAGTTAATACATTCTAAACTTTGAAAGTGGTAGACATTTTTATTCTCTGTCAGATAATGTTATGTTTTAAACACACAAATACAAAATAAAAAAGCTAAGGCTGAGGACCACACTCTAATGAATGATGGAAATTACCCGATATGAATGTTGACTGATCATCATTATGTGTTATTCAGTCAAAATATTTTCAGATATGTTGAGCCAGACTGTAAAGTTGAGCTATCCTTGTATATTTTTTGCATCAACTAAAGGTATAATTTTTTATGATGTATAAAAAAGGTTAGTCATGCAAATGAGAATAAACTCTCAATTGCAAGGATTTGTGAAAGGTTAAGAGACTGACAGCTCAACGTGTTGCAGCTAGTTTGTAGAATTATTTCTTTTTTTGTGTGTGGTTGTGTATGTGTATTTAACCCAAATTTTGTTTTCCTACTTCCTAGAGTTACAATAAAAAGTATATGTGCCATCACAAACTACTTGAAACCTGGCTGCTATGAACAGTGTTAGTGTTTTTCTGTTTTGTAATGTAAAAATAAAAAGTGTGTTTTTAAAAGTTGTGTGTTGAAGTTTTTCATTTTATGATAGAATGTAATAAAAAGACTGAAATGATTTTCACAAAGCTTAACTGCTTACTTAAAACCTGTATGTAATTTCACCCTGAACTTTTGTGATTTTCTCCATGTACAACATGAATATCAGAATTTTTTTTTTTTTAGACAGTGCTGTATAAATGCATGCCAGTCATTCTAGATGGACAGCCATTATGCACTTTACCATAATCAAATCTGCCTAAAGAAGCAAACAAATATTATGCCAACCAAAAGAAAAGTCACTGGTCTAATGACTAAGAATGAAAACTGGTAATTTGACTGAAATTTAAATCCTACGAGTATTTTATTGTTTTTTCTTTGTATGATTGAATATAAATTAGATTTCTGAAGAAAGTCCTCTGAAAAAGCATCCTTCCTTAAGTTATAACATCTTGTATGCTTTAAGCAGAGGAATTCTTAACAGTGGGAACCTTACACATTCTCAAAGGACCTAAGACAAACAAAAAGTTCAGCAAGACCTGTTGAAATCATTATGACCAAAAAGGGTTGGAAACAAGTTAAATTCAAGCACTGTGAAATAAACTGGAACATTTCTTATTTATATGTATTAAACAATACTTTATGCAATAGAATTTTGATAATCCATACATCTTGGATCAAGGTTGTGCAGATTATAGGTTTGGCTTTGACTTTCCAATTTATTTTTTCTTTTTAATTTAATTAAATTTGAACTACTTGCACATAAATAACTAGCCAAATGATACTTCAGTAATAATTTAATTAGAATTTATTTAATACAAAACTATTGATTATATTATATATATATACAACAAATATATAATAATTGAGACAAAAATAATAAATTTGGGGGCTTACAGCTTAAATTTAAAATTATCCAAGTGATTTTACAGTAGTTTTTCAATTTCCAAGTTGGTGTAATCTTTTTCTAGTAATTTGTTTATAACATTTTTTATCTTGCATATAAACTCTACATATTAAATTTTTGTGTGTGTGTGTATATATATATAAAGAAAAATTGACTATCAAAGTGGATGTAAAGAATTCTTTTTGTAAAGATGTCTCAAAATGCTTTTATATATATATATATAAATGTGTAGTAACTAGCAAATCTAAATTCTTTAAGTTAGTCTAAATTTTTCAAGTTATGTCCTTAAACAACAGAAAAAATAGGTAAACACATATACTGTTTACAAAAACCTTAGCATTATAGCTTTCCCTAATTTGAATCTTTTCAAAAATACCAACATTATGTTCCATACATATATGTTAATGGATAAATAATATAATTACCTTATAAGAAATGCTTAGAAAGGAAATTTTAGATTCAATAAAATAAAATCTTTCTCATTTTTTTATACTTTTGATTTTTTTTAATGCCAGATAAATTTCTGTAAGGGCTGTTTTATAGGAAACTATCCCTATTTACTGGTGGTGATGTAAACAAACCAGTAAATGAATTGCTTTAAATTAAAAGTAAATGTCCAAAAAGCGGTAAATAAATTAATTCTTTTAACTGCATAAACTCGATATTAAAACACCAGAAATACTCAAAAGTAATGATTTAACTACAATTAAAAAAATCTGCAAATTCATGATCCTTGATTACAGAAAGAGAGAAAATATTAAATTAAATTTTTAATAAAAATATGTTACAGTGAAATTTTGTTAAAAATTTTATCTGCATATTTACAATAGGAAAAATTACAATAAAATTTATTATGCTGAATTTCAGAGAACTGAAATATTGTTCATATCCAAAAATGATCTTAGATTACAAGAATCTAGCATTAATCAGTTTCAAATAATTGAAATTCTGTAGATCTAAACATATTATACATCTATAAAATATAATTTTAAATTTATATACACATTTATACTGTACTACATTTCAATTTTATTTATTATTTAGAAAGTAATATTTAAATAAAACAAAAACTGGCTGGGAAGGACATTGATCGGTAGTGAGAAGAAGGGGAATAGAGCAATAAACATTCAAAATCACAGACTTTAGCATATACTTAATTTGTTGTTAGTTAGTGTAATGTATATCTATTATTAACTATTATGGTTATGTATTGAAGATATTCTTTTTAGATGAAAAAGCTACTGAAAGAATGACATATTCGTAAGAGCCACCTACTTCCTGCCCGTCTACGGCATATGTTACACTATCACGAGGGGCTTTCGCCACCCGTATTGTGGTTAACCGCAGGTAATTGCTCTTTGTCCATCAATGGAGGACTTCCTTATCAATCTCTCTCTTCGCCCATCGGCCTTCTTTCCTTTTAACTTAGCAAATGCTTATTCTGTGCTTATTATTATATTATTATTTAAACGAATATGTGGAGGTTATAGCATTAATTTGCAAAGGTACTCCGTAACATTACGCCTTGGTCCTATTTCCTGCATACTCAATAAGTGTTATGCTCTTTATCAGTTTGGAATATCCAAGCTCAGCAAACTAATTCTTTTAAGAACTAAACTATTTTTACTAAGACTGAATCACAAAGAAGAAGATACAACAACTGCAGAAAACATTTAAATCATTATTAACTTTTAATTTCAGTTAAGGGTGTATAACGATGTCATTAAGAATGGGTACATTTCTTCAAACACAGATTTAATGAATACATAATTTTAATAAGGTTTAATTAATACACTGATCAATTTTGTTCCTAAATGATATGTTTTATTATAATTTTATTAAATTATGTGAGGGAAGAACCAAATAATCAGGCTTGTAATGAATTACATAAAAACTTTCTATTAATTAAAATAATGCTGTAAATGTTAATGAAATTTATGAACTGAATATATTAAAAATAAAATGTATTTAAAATGAGAAAATTAAAATAAATTAATAATATACATATTTGCAGAACATTAAGGGAATACCAATTCTTGTGAAGTTTTAGATGTTTTTCCACATACTTATTAAATGCTTTTCAAATAAAATTTATAATTTTTATTATATTAACATTAAGATTTTGTGCAATATTTCAAGCAGAATTTCATGTAAAAAAATTAATGAAATAATTTTTATTTAAAAATAAAATGCATTACTTTTAAGAATTAATCTTTTAAAATTAATTACTAAATCCCCAAAAAGTAGAATTTGTAATAATAATTTCAACACATTCATGAGTGTGAAATTTTTTTTTTTACTTTATTACTGCTTATTTTTTTTATTATGGCATTTGTTTTATTACTTGTTAGTTATGTTAAAAATACCAATAAATGAAATATGAGAAATTTTTATGAGGTGTGACAGAACATTTATTATCACACCCATATACACCATGTACATCATATAAAAGAAAAAATATACACATTGTTTTTGGAGGAATTTACACACATATTTTGGTGAGCAAAATTGTAAATTACCAGAAAAAAAAAAAATGTGCGTATATTCCTGCAAATAATTTAAATCAAATTTGCAGTTTCTTATAAATATAAAGAGAGAAAAAAAGTGTCCACGGTTATGCAGATTTTCTCTTCTTGATTATAACTTGAATATCAGTTCATTAACTGTATAACAATGAATTAACAATTAGCAATATCAAAATAAAAAGAGATCAAACAACACATTCTGGTTATTGACAAAATACACATCAGATGCACAAAATGAGTACTTTATATAACCATGTCATGTTGATGGTTTTTAATACATATATAACTAATGACTAGTCAATCTATTCCTAATGAATTAACATTATAAGGCAATTCCTGCATTTACTATATTGTATCTTATCTAGATACACACACACACACACACACATAATTAACTTACATAGAATACAGACTTTTAAATCAATTATTCACAAAAACATAGATTTAGTTCCAAAGATCACTACTATATTTCTTAAATTTCAACCTTTTCCATTTTGTACCATTATTATTATTCACAAAATATAAAATAAATATAATTTAAGAATTCAAATTACCTAGTTTATTTTATTAACAGCAGTATAAACTTTGTTTTTGAATTGAACTTTCCTATAAAAAAACGAGCTGAATTTTTAAGTTAGAGCATTGTTTTAAATGCTCAGTGATTATTTATAACCATGCAAATTCTAATTTTAAATTAAAGGATTAGAATAACAAGTGTTTTCATTGCATGTACGATTTTTTGTTCTATCAAAGAAACTTGTTCTAAGCCTTTTCATGTGAATAAAACTTGATGGCAAAATCATATAATATAGAACAATAAAAGTCTCACATAAATAACAGTCTCTAACATATATATTTTCAAAAATATTTACAATATTAAATAGAGTGACAAACAGTTTAATAAATATATGCACAGAAAAAACATATTTTCATCTTGAATCCATAAAATATATGAATCACAAAAATTATTTTTTTCTATAATTTCAATTTTCCTAACAGGTATTTTATTCAAAAAGTATACAGAAAGAACTTCATGTTATACTTTTTTGTGGAAATTGCAAGTAACACTACAGCTAAAAAATGAAGTTCATTTATAACATATATACTTAAAATAAATGTCATGAAATAAAAATTTTTTAATTTAAAACTTTTTTTCAAATAGGAATAAAATTTATATGAACTATTTCATTTAGTTAATTATTGTTTTTAAACATTCAATATGAAAATTTTTTTTCATTATCATACTTCTCTGATACATTCATTTCAATACTTCTGATAATAAAAATTTTTAATTTCATCTTTTTTGGTTGTTCTATCTGTATAACTATTTCATTCAAATTTACAGACTGATATGCAAAATTTTATCATGCAGAAGGATATTTTAAAACAGTTATGGAGAAATGAAATTCCATATAATAGTATCCATCTATTTAAAAAAATGTTTTTAAGTGACTATTTTCAGATGATTTATAATGAAATTCAAACTAAAACAAAATACTAAAATATTAATTCAAACTCAATATTCCAAAAACACAATGATCTGAAAAAATATTGTGGCTATTTAATATCTGGATTACAAAATGAATATATTTCTCCAAACACCACTTAATCTGCTATTGCATCACTTGATTAAAATATAATTCCACAAATCCAAATAAAGGAATGCTTTAAATTATCATCCAAGATTTGTACATCTAAGGACTAAAAATTTAAGTAAGGATGGAATGGTAAAACTACTCTATTTTTTAATATCATCTATCATATCAATATTAATTTTGAAATACACATAAGGGTAATATTCTTCCACTCCAAATGAACTCAAACCACCAGGAATGTCCTAGGAAAAGAAATCACAAAATAAATAAATAAAATAAGTGATAGTCAGCTGATAAAATAATATACATATCAGATTTTATCTATTTAACAAAATTTAATGCTATATACAATAAAAGCGTAAATGGCTTTACTTTTGAGTAACTACCAGAAATAATATTCTTGTAATTCACATGAAAAGTAATCCTGACTGACATGCAATATTGAAAATATAAAGATAACGCACTCATTTAAAATAAAAAAGGTGAGAGAAAATCATGCTTTAGCACCCCAAACCAGCAGCAATGTGAAAACTAAGACATATATCCATACTAATAAATACTATTGCTAAAATATCCCTTGGATTAAGAAAAATTGCATAAATATTTTTATTCAGCACAGCAGAAGAAAATTAACGCAATAATAATGGAATTATAAATAATTATAAGTGAATGAATAAATATCTACAGTGTGTTTATACAAGGAGGAAACAGATATCATTTCCTTTATTACTGATCCTAGAAATATACAGTGAAACTCAGTTCAAGCAGTGCAGGATTTACATATAAGCTACACAAGGCCCAAAAACCCTATAAACCCTTAAGGCCCAAAAACCCTCTAGGTATCTCAAAAATCATATCTGGCACTGACATATATTATCTGGATTTATAAAGGGCCCCATATCTCAAATAGCTTAGGGCTTTATCAAGTCTAAATCCAGCCCTGAGTTCAAGAATGAAATTTATTCCTGAAGGCAACTGAGAAGTTCAGAAGTTGAAATAATTTTTCCATTATAGGAATTAAGGTAAAATGAATTAATCCACTCCTGCACAACAGATGAATACATATTTAAATTCTTTGTACAGAAGTATTTTATATGCAGATGTTTTTAATACAAAACGAATGGAACTCACAGTATTTACGTATTTTCCTGTTCATCATTTCTATAAACAAACCAGTCACAAAAAGAGTGATTTAAAACCCCCCCCCCCCCCCCCCCCCCCCCCCCCCCGCCCCCCCCCCCCCCCCCCCCCCCTCCCCCCCCCCCCCCCCCCCCCCACCCCCCCCCCCCCCCCCCCCCCCCCCCCCACCCCCCGCTAAATTTTGTTAACAGCTAAAGTTAGGATCGCCAAGCATCCTTTTTTAGAAAGGACAGTTCTTTAATCAGCTTCCCTGTCCTTGTCCTTTTTACTTCCTTCTACAAAGTAAAAAGGAAGTATTGTAATCGCGAAAAGTTTCAGGTAGCATATTTCAACAAAAATATCCATTTTGACCGCTATCGAATGAAATTTAACGATGTTTTTGCATTATATATGTACGTAAGGACAGAATAAAAGACTCTTTTCCTCCGAAAATAACTGCTAATAATTATAAAACTGCTTTAAAATGAATTCTGAAGAGAATTTTTCGTGGCGTCTATACGAACTCAAAAACAAGTAGCCTCAGAACGTTGAAATTTTGTATATAGGCCTGCTATAACATGTAGATGTGCACCTCGTATTTTGGTAGTAATCGGCCGCACCAAACTTATATAAATATTATATAATATCCACTCTGTTCCCGGCTCAGTGATCTCAGTTTCTTTACTCTTATATGTTTGTAAATTGTACATTTTTTGCTTTAAAAATGATTGAATTATGTTGTTCTTATCTTCCGGTTAAGGTTTTTATGCCTTTAGTAAATCTGTATGCAATATTTTTAGAATTATCAACAATTTTAAAGTTGTTTAAGTGCCGCTAAGCCTAATAATGTTTTTGATGGCGGCCATTGCTTGTTTACATTTGAAACAGCAGAATAGTGGATTTGTTGCCAATCTAGAGAAACTTAGCTTTGCAACAACAAAGATAATGCCTTCATTTATGTATTAATCATGTATAATCGAATTAAATCATGCTTAATCCTTTCTGGAATTTTTTTGAGGAAATAAGTGTTTAAGATTTACTTTGTAATTTTTAATACAGATATTTTGACTTTTTATGTATTTTTGCCTTGTCGCGAAGTGAGAAATAAACTAATTGAATGAGAAGTACTCAATCATCTATGAAAAACTTTCTTTTTTGTTTTGTTTGCTTAATTTCTTTTATACATCATTCTAGCTTTATTATAGTATTTGAATAGAACATGTGGCAACGATTAGATAATTCTTTAAATGATATAAATTTTGTGCATTCTAAGTTATAATATGAATGAAATATAATACTGTTAAGTGAACCTAGTACCAGAGTGTCGCTATGGTAAACAAATAGAGTGAATTTTAAGGAATGCATTTATTCTATTGTGGTTTATGCGCTGTCGGCGAAGTAGATTTAATTCAATCCAATAAGTTTAAATGAAATGCAAGAAAAAATGCGTATAATTTAATATTCCGTACAAGGAAGTCATATGGTGTACACATCAGATTTTTTTAGTTTAGAAAAATGTCAAATGCTCTTTATTTCAAAATTTAAAGTCTCTTACAGCTGAATGATAGTATTTAGCCTTGCAATTTGAACAACTTGCAAAATGTGGTGCTAATGTGTGCTTTCTGGAGTTGGCTGTGATCTCCATTTGGAAACACAGTTCTCTCAGCATAGAACGCAACGAAAGTCTGCCATATTTTTCATCAGTTTTATTTTCTCTGCCATTTGTCGTCATGATTATCAAATGCCAGAAAGCACTACAACAGGCTAAAGGGGAAATTGGCCATACCTCATGCGTAAGTACTTTGCAGTTGACAGTATTGCTGAACAGTTATTTCACCTACCCTCTGAGTCTCCATGTAGAATGTGCTTCATTTGCATTTGTTTCATTCATTCAAAGGTATTCCATGTGACAGGCTCTACATATAACATTTACACATTTAATTTGCCACTTTTTCATTAAATTGTTATAAACATATCTTTTGGGTTTATTACATCTCATTTTATAAGTGCTGTTACCCTTATAAATAAATTATGAAATTAATATGGAAAAAGACCAAAGAGTTATGTTCCTTTAACAAAAATCAGAGAAAATGTCATTTAATGTTGATATTAAGTTTAGCTGTTGAAGAACTAGAAAACAAAAACTTCAGGTGCTAATGTTTTCAACATTCCAACCAACTTAAGAAATAAGCTTAAAATACAATATGATGAGAAATGTTTTAGTCTCCAATTTCATCAGCATTTGAAAAAATTAAATAATGTAGAATCTCAAAGATTACTGATTACATGAAATTATTTCTTTCTTCAGCAATTACTTATTTTGAACACTTTGATGAAAATTCTATATTTGGAAAATTATCAGTTTTAAAATCTGTTAAATAAATCATTTCTAACATACCAGAAATTTGTTCAAGTTATTAAAAATTCAAAGCTTTAGCTAATCAAATTCAGCTTTTCTTATTTATAGATGACTTTTTTGATAAAATAACATTAATTCAAAAATGTTCTGTTTAAAATTCTGAACATTTTACAAAATCCAAAATATCAAGCTGCAAATGGTACATGATTTTAAAAAGTGCTGATTATAAATGTCTGAATATTTTTAGAACAGCTTTGTATGTGTTTTTAATTTCTGCAGCAGCAGCATATTGTGAAAGAATTTTAATATCATGTCAACTACACGGCTAAATGAATGTAGTAGGTGATCAGTTGAATAAATAAAAATTGAATTATTTATACATTTTAATTTGAAAGAAAATTGTTCAAAATTTGCTGAGAAAATATAAAGAGATACACATTTTTTCAAGGCTGCCAAACTTCAGAACAAATGTAATTTTTTAAATTATATTTGCTTTAAAACTAAAAATTTTAAATTAAATTTAACTTTAGTTTTAAACAGGGTTCGTACACATTTATACACATTAAAAGTAAGGACTTTTACGGATCATTAATGAAAAAAATTAAGGACCTATCAGGAAACAGAACTGAATATACCAAGATACCAAAGTAATTATCTATACCTGAACTTCACATTTGTAATACCATTCTAAGAATAAAACACATTAGAAAGTAGAACATGTTATTCTTCTTAAGTTCTACAGCTTGGTACATGCCAAAGCTGCTGTCCAAATTTTCTCCATCTGACCCTACCCAGTGCCACAGCTTCCCATTGGTTTATCCGTATCAGTTTTAAATTCTTTTCCACACTATCCAGCCATCTACAGGGCACTCTTCCTTTTCATCGTTTCCCATTTATTTTTGAGAAGGTTATCTTTTCAGTAAGAAATGCATCATCACATATATAAATATGGCCATTTAATATGAGATATTCTTTAAAAAAATAAAATAGTCTTTGCTTTAAAATGTCGCTGAAAAATAAACAATGGTTTGAAGACTATAATTTTGTGCTTTCTGAAGAAAAATACTCTTATTCAATTATTAAAAAAAGATGTTAAAAGCATTGTTTTAATATTTCTACACATAAAATAAGTGACATAAGTAATATGAAAGGAAAGAAATGTCAAAGTTTACATCTGACTGGGGAAAATGCAAAAAATGCATATCAAACGAAAATACATACACTTCTCTTATTAAATCTCATGTCACATCTCATGTTTTAAAGGAAAATCCAGACCTCCAAAGAGCTATAGCAAAATCTTTAAATATCTCTGTAGGAACCATGAACAAAATTATAAAATCTGATTTACAGCTAATCAAAACACACACAGGGAAGTTTTTCTAAAGGTTTTATGGTTATTACTGAATTGCCTTATAATGGAAAACTTAAAATAAGGAAAGTAGAAAAAAAAATGTCAAAATTAATTCGGATTACTATCAGAAATATGTTTTAACCCTTATTTTCAAAGAAGAAATTTCACCTCTTTATCCAAACAATCTTCATTGTGTTCCATCAGGATAAGGCTTCAAGCCATACCTCTAAATCTACTGCGCTATTTTTTGAAAAAATGAGAAATGAAACCGAAATTAAAGCTATTCCCTTTAAATGCAACCCACCCAGGTCCCCTGATATGTCTCCTATAGATTACTGTGCATCTGGACTTTTAAAACAAGCTCTTTATAAATGGCATCCCAAAACATTGGATGAACTCTGGAAGATTGTGAAGGAGAAGTAGAATAAAATCAACCTTGATATTTTGAGAAAAGGTCTTTTATCTTAGAAATCAAGATGTAATATGATAGTTCAATAAAAGGGCTATCAAAGTAATATATTAGAAAATAAAATTCTAAGGTTTGTTTATATATAAATCTTTCCAAAATCATTACAAAAGTGAGTGAACACTCTCTGTATAGAAGAAGCTAATTTTATTTCTTTAATACAGTACAAAGTCTGTAATCCGGACTCGTTTGGACTTCGACAATTCCAGATTAGGGGTTTTTCCGGATTACAGATCATCAATTTTAATCTGGTAAGATGGCATGCAGAAATCATAAAATTAAAAATATGAAATTGTAATTTATGAAATAAAGAACAATTATGATCTAAAGTGTATCAAAATTTACAAAAAAAAAAAAGCTTAATATTTATTTGTTTACTTTATTAAGCATTTCTTTCAATGTAAGTTGTTTAAGTTGCTTCGTTTTATGTGATAATACTTTCTCTTTAATTCTATAAACAGACATGATTTCTTGTTCAGTTATAAAGTTCCGCTGTTGTTCAAGTCCTATAATTGCTGTGTCGAGAATACCGACTAATTTGTCAATCGAAATGTTTTCTTTTTCAATAACCTCTTTGTCACTTTCTTCACTATTGGAAGCGAATTATAATGACGAGGAACTTAATTTAAATCATATCAAAGACAGAGTACAACGAGATGAAATACTACATTTAGTAAGGAATTATAAGCCAAATAAAATAAAAACATCTGCCCTGAAGATAAGGATAGTGCTGACAGATCAACTTCCAATTCATTGCGCACCCCGGCGTTAAAGATAAACAAAGTTTAGATAAACAAACGTTAAAGTTTAAATAAACAAAGGATATGCCTTTATCCATTTTTTGCAGCAATTCAACTTTTTGTTTAATGGACTCCGAAACATACTTTCGCTTTGTAGATCCTTTACATGTTAGTAAATATATATCAGAAATTGTATTTGACATAATCGAAAGTTCAAGCTTACTTTTATAAAATTGCTCTAACAGTCTGCAAAAAATAATAAGCCGAATCCAATTCGAATGTGCACACGCATATTCGCAGCTGTAAAGGTCTTACGCGCACGCGTAAATGCCTATGCGCAGAAAGTTTGTAGCTTTGAGGTCCGGATTATAGATCATTCCAGATTATGGGTGTCCGAATTAACGACTTTTGCCTGTACTAGTACTATGTTACCTAATATGGTAATTATCAAACAATCCAACTTATTTTGCAGTAACTCACTAAAATTTAAAGAAATATTTAATTTGTATTAAAAATGTAATGAAAAATCAACACATTTATTTTTATAGGATATCCATTAATTCTACATTTAAAAAGGTGTGGAATATTTTACAATTAAATTACTATAGCAAAAAGAACATACCTAATTGAAAATTCTGCTTATGGTAGCTATATAAAACACTGTATTTTTAAAACCATTCTACCTCCTATATCGAAACTGATCTCATAAATTTTTTTATTTATAACTGAATATATTATATAGAATCAATCATTAAAGATATACAGTAACAAACTTTCACAAATTTCTCTTGCATAAAAATTAAAAATCTTCTGTTACCCAAACATCTTAGGAAACATTGATCTAAAAAGTATTTGAAAACATTTACATCAGTTAAAAATTTTTAAACTTTACTCTCAATTTCAGAAATAAAATTATTATAAATTATTATACATAATTAAATTGCTAAAATGATGATTCTGCTTTTTCAACTAAATGGCATTTTAAGTCGCTTTCCATTGTTTTACATTGTAAAAGAAGAGAAAGGTGCTTATTTCATGAATTTAGATATAAAAAATTGTTACATAACTCACTGTTTGCCAAAGAAAACTTTAAAAGACTCCTTCAAAATCAGAATCCTCATACTGTCCACATTTTTAAAAAGATTAGAGGTTCAAAAACTCAAAACTTCCATTTCCCCCATTATTCAAATCTTTCAAATCATAACCTTAAATCTCATTAACATATTAATTCAAAGTTTTTTATTTTAATGGCATCCAACAGAAGCACTCATTAAAAACAAAAAACAAAAATGAATGCTTAATTTCAATTCACTTAGACCATTAATATAATCTTGTAATGGCCATGAGTAGAATACATTATATATTTTGCCAAATTACGTAGGTCAGTCAGAAAGTTTGTTGCACAACTGCGTAAATATGTTCCATCTAAGACTATTTGGATGACACTGTGTGACAACACTTCAGACATGTACCTTTATCGTGTGACATAGCGCCTTCCCCGAGCCAAGTTTAGTTTTTCTGATAATTAATCGCAAACATGTCTTGACAGTTGCAAATAGCATCCAAATTGGAAATGCGTGCAGCCATTCGTTTTTTTTGTGGAATAAAAGGTGCAACTACACTGAAATTTATGGGCAGTTGCATGAAGTGTATTGTGAAAATGCAATCTTCTGTCAAGATATCGCAAAACGGTGCAACGCGTTTGAATGGAAGTACAGATATTGACGACGCTGAGCACGAAGGAAGACCATCAACTGCAACAAATTCGAAAATCGCTGCTCGTGTGAACGAATGCATTCTTGAATACAGATGCATAACGATAGACAAAATCTCAAATGAACTGGATATTTCTCATGGAAGTGTGCATACAATTATTGCCGATCACCTTAAATTTCATAAAGTTTGTGCTCAATGGGTTCCATGTCTATTGATGGAGGAACATAAAGGAAATCATTTTGAAAGTGCATTTGCATTTCTACAACATTACCAAATGGAAGGAAATGAGTTTTCGGACAAAATTGTGACTGGAGATGAAACTTGAATTCACCACTTCTCACCTGAAAAATGCAGCTCGCTCGAGTGGAAACATTGCAGTTCCCCAACACGAACAAATTGTGTCGAACTGTTCCATCTGCAGGAAAGGTGATGATGACATTTTTTTTCGACAGAGAAGGCGTGGTGCATACAGAGTTCATGCTGAGGGTGCCACAATTAATGCATCTTCTTATTGTGAAACACTAAAACGATTGTAACAATCACTTAAAAATCGACGGCCAGGTAAACTGTCGAACAACGTTGTGCTCCTGCATGACAATGCAAGACCGCATGCAGCAAAACAAACGTGTGACTTTCTGAAAAAATTTAGGTGGGAAGTGTGGAATCACCCTCCTCATAGCCCAGACCTTAACCCTTTGCGGCACAGGGACACACCTAAAAATTTCCTTCTGTATGCACAGAAAAATTGAATGAAAAAGGATTTATAGGTTACTATAGGTTACTCTGAACCTTCTTTATTTATAGTAGATGGCAGCTCAACACAAACCAGTCCATATATTTTTAGCCATGTTTAGTTTTTTAAGACCCTCATTTCTCAGAGAAAACTTCCAGATTTTTTTAGGGTACAAAAGGAATTGTTTGAAAAGAAATTTTTTTTTTTTTTTTTTTTGGCTGTATGCTAATCTCTTTATTCTATATTAGTTTTAAATTTTTACCTAGAAATCTTGCCTAAAATCAAATGGCGAACCCTAGGTGTGCACAGACCGGGCTCACTGATAATCTAGGACAACTGAAAGTCTGTATTCTTTGTTTCTCCACATCTCATCGGTCAGTTCATTGACAACAATGCTCATTTCAGCACTCTTTTCAAAGCTCTATTCATTCAGCACACCCACAGAATTAAAAGATAAGTGCTATCTTCACAAAATTTTACTTGTGTACTCTTTTAGGCCTAATTAGACTGCCTACCTTTTTTTTTAAACAAAATTCCAACTTTAAAAGGTAGCATGCCGGAAAGGGTTAACCTCCTGACTTTCATGTGTTTGGTCCCATGAAACGAGAACAAAGCGATGGTACCATTCGGATGCCGAAGTGAAAGCTGCAGCCCAACAATGGTAATCGGACATTGAATGGGATTTCTTAGCAGAAGGCATCAAAAAACTTGTACCACACCTCGACAAATGCTTAAATAATGGAGGTAATTACTTTGAAAAGTAGATTTTGAATGAAACTTTAAAATATAAATAAAGTTATTGTAAAATTTTGCTCCTGTTTTTTTTCTTTAGGCATTGCAACTAACTTTTTGACTCACCCTCGTATACACAGAAAATTAACTTCCAACTTCAAGTGCTTTAATTATGCCATATTTCTTTCAGAAAATTTTATTTGTATATTCTTAATAAACATAAATGTCTTTTAAAAACATAATTAAATATGTTTTTCACTAAACACAGATTTCAAATTTTGCTTTAATTAAAAACTTCTGTTTTGTTTGATTGTTGCTACTCCTGTTATATGAAGAATTTAAGAGATCCGAGAGCTATTTATGATTAAAAGTTAAAAAAAATTAAAGATTCATTCCACTTTATTTTAAAGTTTCCCCCCCCCCAGATTTGTGGCTTTTGTTACAACTAACAATGTGCATTATTTTTAAGTTTTATTTGTAGTTAAAAATTTCTTAACAGAAATCAATTTTTTGCTTTCAAAATCACTTTATTTTAGCTCACTTTAAATGTCACTGAAAAACACATGCAAAAATTTAATATAAAATTACAAACCAACTTACATCAATCTGACCAGATGCCAGACTGCTATCCAAGTGACTATAAAGGTTATTCAAAACTTCTCTAAGTTTCTTTGTAGATTTTAATGGCTGAAGTAACATAGCTTGAAAATTGACAGGAAGTCCATATCTTAATTAAAAAAAAAAAAAAGAATCATTTACAGATATGAAACAGTCATTAAATTACTAAAATACCAAATAGCACAATAACTAATTAGCTATTACAGTAAACCTTCTGGTTACAACTTCTACTGAAAGTGATCAGTATAAGGTCTGTCCGCAAGTAATGCACCCTCTTTTTTTTTTTTTTTTTTTTTTTTTTTTTTTAAAGAAATTTACTGATTTGATTCATAACAATTACTCAATATTCTTTGAAATATATCCCTCCTGCTTTAACACACTTGTTCCAATGCAATTTCCATGCTTTATATGCGTCTTGGGAGTCTGTCACAGGAATGTCCTTTAGTAACCTCGTCGTAGTCGTCTTGATGTTCTCCAGGGTCCCCAAATGCTGTCCTTGGGAATCTTTTAATCTTCGGGAACAAAAAGAAGTCAGTCGGAGACAAATCAGGACAAGCAACACAAAAGTCTCCAACGGCATTTTCTCAAGTTTGCAACAAAACTTTGCGTATCGCTGCTCGAGTTTTTTCATCTTGATTTCAACCGAGCATTCACACAAGGGTTCACTGAAACAGGCACTGTGACTCTCCAGGAGCTCAGAGCCAACTGGTGCTGGTCACGTTGTGTTCCTGAGGCTCCACCCATCCTTCCGTGCAAGCAGCAATGGTGTGCAACGGATAGTTGCGGCAGAAGAAAATGGGGCGCATTACTTTTGAGACATACCTTGTATTTCTGAGAATAACCATTAACTCTAAGAGGACCATGTCTACAGGAAACAAAAACCTTTTGAAATCATAACAGATCATCTTGGACAAGTGTACTATATTATACAGGGTTTACCTTTAAAATCTAAATGAGTTTATTCCAATAGAAATATTATACCAGCCACAAACATACAGATAAATTTTCTAACAGTTACAACAAAGCAAAGAAATGAAATATTAACTACAAATCTTATAGCTTCGTTATAAACACAGATATTATTATCACAATGAAAATCATATTCAATATAACTATCATTTCAATAATAAATGTAATTGTATGTGTTTTAGTAATACAAAAATAATTTATTTCTAAACTATAACAATCAAAATAATAATATTAATACTGGAATATTTTGCTTTGGCCAAATTTATTCTAATCATGATATCAAATTTGTTTACTGCACATTTGAGTTTAGTACCTAAATTTCATTAATATTATTAAAGGTCTAAATTTTAAGACACTATTTAAAAAGTCAATTTGTAGACCAAGTTGTTCCAAATATAGATAGCTGTTTCCTTAGTACCGATTCCTTACCATAGAAATTTTCTTTAACTGTTGCATTCAAACTTCCAACAGTGATTTATTTCACAAATTACCTTGACTCTAAAGTAGGCTTGGTTTGCAAAATTAAACATGTCCAAATTAACCTTTTCTGGCATGCTACCTTTTAAAGTTGGAATATTTAAAAAAAAAAAAAAAAAAAAGTAGGCAGTTTAATTAGGCTTGGAGAAGTACACAAGTAAAATTTTGTAAAGATAGCACCTATCATTTTAATTATGTGGGTGTGCCCGAAGCAGGCACACTAATTGAATAGAGCTTCAAAAAGAGTTCTGAAACAAGCATTGCTGGGAAGTGTGTAAAAGAGTAAGAGATTTTGCTTATGATTAAAAAACACTAGATTGTGAATACCATAGCAGATTTAGCATTACCCAGGGTGTGCGACGGGAAGATCTGCAACTCTACACCCCCCTAAATAGCTCATTTTTGGTTATATGATGATTACATGCTTACGAATAGAAAAAGAAAAGTAACTAGGATATATAATATTTACATTATTTACATTTCATATTTACACTTTAGTCTACTTTTTTCATCGTTCGAAAAAAGTGACACCACCTTTGAAAAGGCACAACCCAATATTGCATGTTTTGCACATGTGCTGGGATCCATATCTGATTCACTATCTTAAAACAATTCATGTAGCACTTTCAGTGCTTTAGAAACGGTCAGCCATCTCCAATCCTCTCCAATTCGGAAAATAATTAAAAATCCAAAAAAATAAACTAATATTATATCTACAATTTTGAAATTATAAAATAAAATGTCTACAACTCAAAACTATTAAACATAGTGCTAAGAAAACTTCTTTGAACCAAAGCGAAAGAGAAAAAGAGAACTGCTCTAATGCAAAAACAGCTAACTGATGGGTAATGAAACACAGATGTGAACCCACCTTTCTATGTTAATGAACTGATCGATGAGCTGCAGAGAAACAAAGATACAGCTGCCTCTCAGCAACCTAGATTCGCAGTGAGCCAGTCTGGGAACACCTTGGTTTGCCGTTTGATTTTAGGCAAGATTTCAAGGTAAAAATTTTAAACTAATATAGAATAAAGAGATTAGCATACAGCTAAAAAAATAACATAGAAATTTCCTTTCAAACAATTCCTTTTATACCCTAAAAAAAAATCTGGAAGATTTCTTTGAAAAATGAGGGTCTTAAAAAACTAAACATGACTAAAATATATAGACTGGTTTGTGTTCAGCTGCCATCTACTATAAATAAGCAAGGTTCTGAGTAACCTACAGTAACCTTCAAATCCTTTTTAATTCAATTTTTCTGTGTGCACAGAAGGAAATTTTTAGGTATGCCCGGACCGGGCACATCGTGCCGCAAAGGCACCGTGCATGCAAATCAAAATCTGATTGGCTTGTTTAACAGAGTATGACAAAACATATGTCTATCTGCCTTTTAATTTAAAACTATTTTGCATTTCTAAAACTGTCACATTTCACCCAAAGAATGGCATCAAGCACTGCTACACATACAGTTAGTAAAAAGAATACATACTTCCAATTCAACACAAGGTATATAAAATTTATTTCATGGTGTTATATGTAAAAACCAAAATTTGAATATATAATTTTAGTTATAAGATAGGCATAAATAATTATAAATATTTCCTTTATGAAATTTTTGAAGATATTCTTTAGAATGAAATTTAGATATATTATATGATGAATATAATTCAACTGCAGATTCCAAAGGGAACTACTATTAATTTACTTTTGTACCAACAGCCTGACGACTTTCATCCCAGTGGGTTAAAGTAACAAATGCCATTCTTTATGCTGGGCTAAAGGAGTGAAAATGTGATAAACAGCAAAATTTTGCTTAAATGATATTCTGCTTACCTGAAATACTAAAGCAAATTAAATCAGTAAGCTCCAAAACTAATGATTTCCAATCCTTTTAATTAATTCCCCCTATTTTCTCATTTTCAAATGAAAATAAATATTTTATAATATAAACAGGTAATCATAGTAAATTTTACACATAAAAATAATGGACTTCAAAATCTCAGTGCAGAAAATTATCTTTAAGTACTTATATTTATTAATGAATTATGTCAATTAAATTTGCTGTATATTAATACATTTCTTTATAAGTAAAAAAACTACCAAAAATTGTAGCATCAAAGATTTTGAAAAAAATTACTAAAAAAAATCTTGCAGTACCAAACGAAATTTTGCCATTTTTTGAGGAATGCCAAGATGATAGACAATATCATCTTGTAATTTCGAACAGATCTTTATTTTTCTATTTTAAATATAAAATAACATTACTGAAGATGTATATAAAAAAGGCACCAAAATGAAGCATATCCATTTTTTGTGTACAAGTATTCTTAGTGTACTATTGTTCTTTTATATGAAAAAGTTTTTGTTCATTCTGTTTGTGCTCACTATGGAAATTTTTTTCTGGCTGGCCTTCATACTGATTAAAAATCAAATCTTTTAATAAGAATAATTATTCTTCACAGATTACACCACGAGCTTGCCTGATGTTATGTATTTTCTAGCAAGAGTTTTAAAAGAATCTATAAACCTACATGTGAGAGTAAAGATATCTCTACTTACCTCAAAACAGATTCAACAAAGACTCTTAAGGCTTTCACATGAATCCATGCAACAAAGCATTCACTGAAATTCACTTTTATCCACCTGAACAAAAGACTCTGCAACACAGAATGTACATATATTATAAGGTTGTCAGTAAAAAAAATGCAGGTTTTTAACCTATATCTTTAAAGTATCATAACTCCACTCAAAAACAATTTTATTAATCAAAATAAGCACCAGCCAAATCAATGTATTTTTGCCAATAAGATTACTTATGCCAGTAGAATAAAATTCTGGAGTTCTGAACAAATGGTTTGGATGTTGTCAAAGCCGTTTTTGACCTTGTCTTGGTTTCTGACGCATTTCTTCTGCAAAATGTTATCCAGGTGTTTGAAAAAGTGGTATAGGTCAGCGAGAGTTTAGGCGAACATGGGGGAAAAGGGAGAGTCTCGTATCCCAATTCGTCCAATTTCTGTAGAGTCAGTTGCATGACGTGTGGCCAAGCATCGTCATGGAGAAGAACTGGTCGCTTTCTGTTGACCAATGCCAAGCACATGTGTTGCAATTTTTGGTGCATTTCATTGATTTGCTGACAGTACTTATCTGCCGTAATCATTTTGATCAGATTTAGAAAGGTGTGGTGGATGGCACCATGGCACCAGCTTTTTTTGGTGCAAATTTGGCTTTGGAAAGTGTTGTGGTGTCTGACCGCAGTCCAACCACTGAGCTGAATGTTGCCAGTTGTCGAAGAGAATCCACTTTTCATTGCACATAACAATTCAATCAAGAAAAAGGTCTTTTTTGTTGTGGAGAAGAAGAGCAGACGACACTTTAAAATGACGATTTTTTTCAATTTTCGCACAATTCGTGAGGCACCCACTTATTGAGCTTCTTTGACTTTCCTATATGATTCAAGTGATCAAAAATCGTTGTTTTGCTTACACCAAGCTCTCGAACAGTTATGCACGGGTTTGTTTCAACAAAGTCTTCAAATCATCGTATGGTCATCAACAGCTGAAGAGCATCCACGATGCTCTTGGTCTTCCAGGTCAAATTCTCCATGACGAAACTTTTTGTAGCAACCATTGAACTGTAGATTCATTAACACTTTTCTCACCCCATACTTCATTGACATTTCAAGCCGTTTGTGCTATGCTGTGGCCTAGCTTGTACTCATAAAAGTAAATTTGCAGAAAATTTCATTTTGACATCTAAACAAAAACATGTAGTAAATATTTTTTAAAATAATTTTGGAACAAAATGATTATCATAGAAATATAGAGCGAAAATAGAGTTTCAAAATGATAAATAAACCAATGTAATTCAAAATATTTTTGTTGCTAAAAATGTACAGGAAAGATAAACAATTACAAAAACCTGCATTATTTTCCGGACAACCTGATAGATAAGAAATACTACAAGCATTTAAAGAAAAAATTGTAAATATGAGTTCTAATCATTTTTTAATTATTGAGGGGGTTCAATGAGAAAACCTGTGTATCAAGCAACTGAATTTTATAAGGCTTTCTTTATATGCATAAAGAATTCAGAATTAATTCATTTCAAGATTTTCAGACTTTTTTTTTTTTTTTTTAAGCTTAACACTACCACATTCTTTATATACGAATAAATTAACTGTAAATTTCACAATGATATGATAATCAGAACATATATTATTAAAATCATCTTCATTTTTAACAGTATTAAACTGAAAATATTAAACAGAATTTTGTTCCTTTCTTCATTGCTTGAAAGTGAAATTGAAATGTCATTGAAATGTCATGAGTGACCACTTTCCACAGATAATTATTATTATTATATTATTTTCTATTTGACTTGAGCTCTCTCCTCTAAAAAGATACTCTTATCTTTTACTGGTGCAGTCGGCAGGATCGGGGTTTCCCCGCATATAATTACGAACCAAAATAACTCAGGTGAGAGCTCAATTTACCTTGTAAACGTAAAATAATTAATTAAGATTATGAAAAGTTAATTATTGTTTCTGTCATGGAATCTTAGTTTATTTACTTGTCAAAGTAATGAATACGCCAGTGTTCAAATGTAATTTCGTTTGACTCGCCAGAGTAGGTAAACAACACATTAAGTACTGATTCCACTAATTGATTTTCGTGCCGGATAAAATTAAATTTATTGTGAATTATATTTAAATAGAAAAAGAGGGAAAAAAATTGCTTTTTATAAAACTAAGAGTCTATTGACTGAATAAAATCAGAAATCAGTACTTGGCATCAGCCAGCTGCTGCAGTGTTATACATAGAACGATTTTTTTTTTGTTGTTGTTGTTGTTGTTTCTCCAACGAAAGAGAAAACCGCAATTAGGGAGTTCATACTTTAACTAATGTTAAGGATAAATTGAAGGACGCATTAACAAGAAATTAGTTTTTTTTTTATTAAATTTGCAAAGAATAAGGTTTATTTAAAATCGAGACATGGCTTTTATGGGACGTGGGAAAAAAGAGGATTTGCTGGTTATAGCTGCTGAATTAGAAATTCAAGTAGATCCAAGTATGAAAATCGTGGCGATAAAAAATGAAATAATTCAAAGTGATACATATGATGAATCATTTGCTAAAGAAATGTTTTTAACGACTATTGAAGAGAGGAAAATAAAAGAAGAGGAACAGCGAAGAAAGAAGAGATTGAGGAACAGCGAAGGAAAGAAGAGATTGAGGAACAGCGAAGGAAAGTAGAGCTTGAGGAAAGGCGAAGGAAAGAAGAGTTTGAGGAACAGCGAAGGAAAGAAGAGATTGAGGAACAATGAAGGAAAAAAGAATTAGAAGCACAGCAGAAAAGAGAGCAAATGGAGTTTGAATTGAGGAAACTTGAAATTGAATCTTGTGTTCGACTAACACAAACTCCACCAACAAATGAAAATGGACATCATAATTTTGATTTAATTAAGCTTATTCCCAAATTCAATTTAAGACACGATTATATTGTGATTTATTTATCCTTATTTGAAAGACAAGCAAGCTAAAAGGACAAAGATTGTTTCTAAAGATTGGGTTTCATGTTTGTTGACTTTAATGCCATCTGAAATCATTCAATTAATTAGTAGGGAATCTGAAGAAAAATTTGAAGATTATGAGTACATTAAGGCCATTTTATTGAAGAGATTTAAATTAAATCCTGAAAGCTTCAGAAAAAAATTTGTAATGCACCAAAAGAACGCTGAAAAATCATGGAGAGATTTTCACTATGAAATTACAAGTTATTTTGAAGAATGGATCAATGGTCTAGAAATCACAAATTTTGCCACGTTAAAAGACTTGATTTTTACTGACCAAATTAAGAAAAGAGTACCCTATGAAGTAAGAGACCATCTTCACGACTGGGCGAAGTTCGTTTCTCCAACCAAATTAGCTGATAAACTTGATGAATATGAGTGTTCGTAATATCTCAAAACGGACTGGTGGTAATCCATCAACAGACAGAACTAATGAAAAATGGCAACCTCGTTCTCCACTTCTAGAAAGAGCTTTCAGAAATAAATCACTGTCTGCTGAGAACACGCCAAAAGTGTACCCATCCCGTAAGAGTGACGAACCACAAAAGCCTAGTTTCAAACTAACTTGCTATAATTGTGGAAAAGAAGGTCATACATCTAAGTTATGTACCAAAAATCGGATACCAAGAAGTGCTCCTGTAAACAGCACAAAACAACTTAATACAAACACAAGCACGCCTTGCAGAAAAAAAAAACCAGAAGTGCTAACTGCCAAGATCTCTATTCCTGTCTCAAAAATCAGTGACTTGTCTAGAAACACAGATGAATTAAAGCTGTCAAAGTTAAATGTGGAGAGATATTATTCTAAATGGAATCGTAGACACGGGAGCACAAATTTTCAGTAGTCTGTGAGAAATTGGCTGACAACATACCTTGCAAAGGAGAAAGTAAAAATAGAGATATCTTCTGCTTTTGGTGGAAAAACGAAATTACTCCACTAAAGATTTTCCAGATGAAAATTGACGATGATTTTCACGGTAGAGTGTCCATTACGTGTGCTGTTTCAAAAAAGCTAGTTACCACTTGCTATTGTTGAGTTTCTTCAGCTTATGAAAACGCTCTGTGGAAATATTGAAATGATAATGGAAATACTCCGAAGATGATAGCCATTCATCTGAGCCCATGCAATGCTTCAATAGTCGACCACCATCCCACAATTCTTTATGTAGTAAGAGAAATTCACCTACATTTATGCCCTCTCATCAATATTCGAAAGAGGATTTGATGAAATATTCTGTTTCACCATTGTCTCAGAGTTGGCCTTCTTGCCTGGATCCTGCATATAACAATCAAATGGAAAAATGGGATCCTCAACGCTGGTTTATGAATCATCGAAGTGATCGTATTGGTTCACTTTATGAAACACGTTCAAAACGGGATAGACAAGAGGATGGCATGCTGAGTCACAAAAGGAAATCATCTGATCCCAAAGAATGCATTAAAGAAGAAAAAGATGATATTGTTCTCAGCCCACAGCGACGAAGTTTTGGAACTGGTTGCCAAGTCATTCAGCAGCCTTCTTTGGCTAGAAGACCTGGTAGTCCCAGCGATGGAAAAGAATCGGAAAACTTTCGAGATTCTTCAAGGAGAACTGGAAGTGGGCGTATCATGGCTAGAGATCGAGAACAAAGAGATTGGGAATGTGATCGTGAATATGGATATGGTTCTGGCAGAAATGAACGTAGAGATCGTTTTGATCAAGAAGATAACAAGAAAGACTTGAGGCGATATTTGAGCCATTATAACCGGGGAGACAGACATTCAAGAGGTCGAGATCGAATTGATAAGGTTGAACCTGAATGATTCAGTAGTGGTTCCACTAGTCAGTCAGAAACTATAGAACTTGTTGGGTTTGAAGATAATCAAAATGAGGATGAAAATCGTAAGCCATCAAAAAAGGCAAGTAAAAGAGCTAAGCAGAATTCTTGCCGCTCAAGTTTAAAATCTGATGAAGGTGAAAGGAATGAAAATGTGATATCTGAAGATAATTCCAAGAAAAAAAGCTACTTGAGCTCAGCAAGAAGCTCAGCAAGAAACTAATGCCCTGTCAACAACGATGGTCAACCATCAAACGAGAAGCATTTTGTGTCATCAAAGCCTTGAAAAAATTTGACACATGGATTTTTGGTGCCAGAGTGCAGATTGTGTCTGATCACAATCCCCTCACCTACTTGACCCAAAGCGCCCCTTATAGTGCTAAACTGTCTCGTTGGGCCTTAGCGTTACAATGGTATAACATGACTGTAACATACCGCAAAGGAAGTTCACATGGGAATGCTGTTGCTTTGTCAAGGTTAGCAGTTAACTCTTTCTCTTAGCAGCATTGTCTCCACGGTGACGAATGTGCTTCTTGTAGGGGGACTTGTAAAGATCGTGACTTAAAGAGAACGTGAAATATAAATAATAGGATAAGGACTTGCATTTTACGGTGTGGCAACAAGAAGGGATTCAGAAGATTTTTTTTTTTTATATATATAGTTTGTTTGGAGAGTTTAAGATTTTAGTATTTTAATAGTTGTAAGAGTTTTAACTGTAGTAGTTAAGAGTTTAAAATTTTGATAGATAAGAGCTGCAGCATTTATTTATTTATTTATTTTTGGTTCTGTTTTAAAATTCAAATAAAAGTATTTTGTTCATTCTGAAAATTTAGCTTTGTTCTTCCTACAAGGTTCAATATCCATTATATTGAAATAAGGAAAGGATTTTTACTACAACCTTACATGACCAGCAACCACAATGTTAGAAAAGACATGATATTATGATAATATACAATTAGAACTATACTTGCCAGCTGTCGACTTTTGTCACTCTTCAGTTTTGCATGCTGACTTTTTCCATCTGCTAATTCTTTCTCGGAATAGGTAAAATCCCGAACAATGAACCTTTATTTGATAAATAACAGTATTGAGATAAAACCTTGCACAAAATAGGAGGGGGGAATATATGAATTAAGATTACTGAAATTATTACTGAAATTTTTTTAAATATACATGGATATTACTAAGGACCTAATATTTTAATTCAGAAAGTAAGCTTAACATACAGTAAAATCTAATGAGACACACCCTGTCTAAGATGACCATCTTTGTTAAGTGATAGCATCTAAAAACATGTATTTACCCAAATATAAGATGAGGTTCTCCCCATCATCACAAATTTTTTAATCTGAAAACTTAAGCTTGCCTTAAATTCATATATTAAAAAAAAAAAGTTACTGATTATCAATATTTTCAAATTATACAGCACACAGAATTATCCCTCATACATGACTGCTACCCCTATAATATCTTTCATTTAAAATACAAAAGAAACTTTTTTCAGAATACAATACTGACAGTAACTGTGATCCAGATGATACTGACAGTAAATAACAGTTCTAGTATCCAAATCCAGTAAAATTAATGCATTACATGCATGTAAATATATATATTGCTATTAAAACACACACAGTTGTAAATAGCTGTAAATATTTTAATCCTTTATCACATTGTTTTTCTGTATTGTTACAATATTGTGCAGTTTTTACTTAATTATTTGTTGTTTTTGTGATAATAGTTTTAGGGTTTATTTTGCAGTAATTGAATTTATGGGCTATAAGCTTTTATTATTTGTAGAGCTAGGGATCTTTTAATTCTGGATGCAACAACATTTAAACTGTAAAAATAGCTCATGAAGAATGCGAGATATAAGCAAATATGAGCTTGATGCATTTTGGCAAAACAATCTGGAACAAAACTTTCTTGGAGATTTGCAGGAACACTTTTTCGAAGCTTGATTTTTCCAGAAGCCTATGACTACATTTTCCTGTGATTTGATTTTTCCAGAAGCTTCTAGAAGTCCATACTACACTATATAAATATGGCTCCAAGAGCTAGAATTTAACTGTGAGAGTTAATGGTTCAAAGAGAATTAGGTGAATGGAGTTTTAGAGTTTACTTTGTGAGAGATTTTTTGTGAACTTATGGTATTCAGTGTGTGCTAAGGAGGAACTGCTCAATATCCATATTCTGCTTGAGCTAGTACCAGCTATTTATTGTGCTGTGTGTTGTGAATTTTTATGATAAATCAACAACTCCCTTCTGGTTATCTGGAGCAATTACTTAAAAGATATATCAGTAAATTTGTAGCCTGCAATAATACGACAAATTCTATAGGTTACTACTTTCATTTTTTTTAATTATTATTATTATTATTATTATTACACTGTTCTAGAACCAGTGATAAAGCAATATTTTTCATAATGGTTCATGAAGAAAACTATCCTCAAAATTAGGAAAAATTAGGTCCTCTCCAGGACTCATTAAAAAAATAGGTATCATCATCAATTCAAAAGTCATCCTATATATAGTTAAGTAAATGTAGATTATTCAGTAACATAGATTATTCAGAGCAACCATTTCCACAGATCAAAATTATCTGGATATGTGGAATGGTCACCTTAGAAAAAATTTATTGTATTCACTTAAAAAAAAATGCATAAACAGGTTTCAAAATTCTTCATCATATATTAGCACAGATCTCAAGTTTGTACATTTGATACAAAACTTTCACTGCTAGGATTCAATTGCTTCATTGCTAGGATTCTACAATAAAATGTCCTCTCAGACAAAGTGTTTACCCACCAGTGCACCATCTAAACTGAAATTCTTTTAATAAAATACCTTTTTAACATATTTACTCATAAACCTGATAATTTCACTACATTGCCATTTTTTGTCAAATTTTTTTTGGCTCTTCACCTTTAGTTTCCAAAACTGAATAACTTATTTTCTCTTCTTGGTGCACACTTCCAAGTGGAAAGCCAGTTTAACTATTGTTTAATGCTGTAATCCCATCAGATCCACAAAGCTCTATGTATTCATAACTCAAGCCAGAGGGCATAACATATCTTTAACATTAGAACGTTCAAAAGCCAGCAAGATTCCAGGATTTTTTGTACAACAATGCCTATTGCACAGTAAATGATCTTTGATATTTCAAACTTCATATGTTATTTACAATGTAATAATAGTTCAGTTTTGTCAGTCATAGATGATACCTGTGAATTAGGATGAGAAAGAGCCTCTATGTATGAAACAAAAGGTACTAAGGACTACTCGACTATGAAACAAAAGAAACAAAGGATCTATGAAACAATAGGTAAGTGCAGTGGCGTATTAACAACACCGCACTTACGTATTAATGCCACCGCAGCAGAAGTTGTGTTGATGCTCTAATAAAGCAATCCTGTTGTTCGCATACAGTTATCTTTTGGATTCCTTTTTGCCTTGCTGTTTGCTGATTTTTGATGCCATTTTTTAGTGCTACGAAAACGTGTCTTTAGGATTTGCTAAACACAGCAGAAGTTGCAATTTTCTTTTTTCAGGAGAGAAATATTTGACCAAAAAAAAATGAAAATGTACCAATTTGCATGATATGAAACTTTATTTTGGTAAACGTACGTTTTGGAAACGTAATTTAAGATAGCAACAAGTGGGACTTAGAAAAGATAACTGGTTTGAAGGAAGCAGAATTCATTTGTTCAGCTTTGAGATTTCATATACCGCTGGTGCGAGGAGTTGACGTCGAAAATTTTGAGAAAAGCAACTTGATTTATCGGATAAATGTATGAGTGGACAATACATGCATGAATTATATGTCTGGATATGGAGAATAAACAAAAAGAAGTTACATGGACCAGATTGCATTGTGGAAATTGATGCAAGTTTGTTTGCTAAGAGTAAAAATAATTGTGGTCGAATATCACCCTAAGAACAGTGGGTGTTTGGTGGTATATGTAGAGAAACAAAGGATTCGTTTGTTGTCACTGTTCCTGATAGAACTGGCTCTACCCGTTCTTAATAAAATTATTGAAAACATTGCAGCTGGTAGCACAATTTATTCTGACATTTGGAAAGGTTATCAAACAAATAGAATAGGAAAAAAAGGACTGCTACATGCTAAAGTTAATACAATACAATTTATTGATCCTGTACAGGAGTTCATACACAAACAGTTGAGAGAATGCCGGGCAGTGCTAAATGGAGGAACAAGAGACATAGGGGGACAGCGAGACATCATTTAGAATCTTATTTAGGAGAGTTCATATGGTGACAGCATCAGGTCAAACAAAATAGGTTTAAAAATTCAGTCATTTATATAATGTCCAAGATGTAAAAAAAAAAATCCTTTGGTCTGTTTTAATAATTTTCTGTTGCAAAAATAATATACATTTATTCAGGTTCATCAATAAAAAATTCATCAACATTCATTAAATTATATAATACATTCAAAATTTTAATCTCCATTACTAAAGCCAGAGACAATGAATACCCAAAATATAATTTTTTAGTCACAGGTTTCCTATAGATGATGATAAAATAAAAAGTATCATGAAAATTCTTACTTCTTTTCTCTTGCATTTGCCTTGAATTCATCCACCCACTTCTTGAATAATGTTACATTATACAGACTATGTTCATTATCTTGAAATATTCTTCTACAATAACAAAATAAAAAGGAGCCTATAAAATGCTTGTATTAAATAAAAAGTGAGAACATAATGTAGCAAATGCTTATTTATTAATAACTTACATGCTTGAGCTTGGAACAACCATATCTGTAATTTTTTCATATGATTTTTCCCAATCTTTTGTCAAAGCACTATAGAAAAATTACATATACAGAAATTAGGATTTGCAATTAAAAGCGTTTTATTTAACACATACAACTGTTCGCACCAAAAAAACTGTCATTATTACTTCCAGGAAAACATGCTGGCATACTTGATATTTTGAGGGAACTTGATTTAATACTTCAAAATAACAGAGCAGGATGCTAACTGGCATGATTTTCAATGAAGGACTTGAAACCTTAAATACAACATCATTATCCATAACTGTGATGCTTGCAGAATGGAGATATTTAAAATTCACTGGCAATTCTTAAAATTTCTTTCAAGAAATTCAAGGCAGAGAGAAAGAAATATAGTAAATGCCACTTAACGTGATCCCATTTACTCAAGGCTATTTTGAAAACATTCACTGAATGGAGGTGTCAAAGAAACACAAACAAATGGAGACTTGTGAAAGTACCAATATATTTTCAAATATATATTTTCAAATAATTGTGATTTTGCAGCACAGCTGCATGGAGCAAAGGTATTTTCTCATATAAACTTGATAAAAGTATGTCATCAATTTCCAGTTAATCCTTCTGATTTTCACAAAATGGCTATTGCCGCTCCTTTCGAACTTTTGGAGGACACAAGAATGCAGTTTGTGCTAAGCAACATGGCTGCAACCTTTCAACAATTTATTGATGAAGTAACTCATCAGCTGCTAGGAGTATTTGCTTTTGTTGATGATATAGTGATTGCATCAAAAGACAAAACTGAGCAATTTGAGCACTTGAAAGCTTAAGCAATTATGAGTTAACAATATTATTAATATATCTAAATGCATCTTGTACAACATCTTTGGAGTTTTTAGGTTTCCATGTATCTGAAGAGGGTTTAAAACCTTCATCCCATAGAGTGGAAGCAATTTAAAATTTTTCCAAACCAAACTCTTAAATGCAGTTAAGAAAATGTTTTGGCATTTTTAACTTTTATAGTCATTTTGTCCAAGAGCTTCATATTTTTTAGCTACCTTAAATAGGTTTTTGGAAGACCATGTAAAGAAATAGAAACCTTCACAACCAAGTAAAATAAAAGAACACCCTCTCAAATGGGACAATAAAGCTCAGAAAGCAGTCACCAATGCAAAAAAGGCAATCACCAACACTACCCTTCTCAGACACCCTGGTGCTACTTTGAAACTCTGTATTGATCCATCGGACATTGTAGTTGGTAGCTTATTAATGCAACTGCATAATTCAGTTTAAGAACTCCAGCATTTTTCTATTTGTTAAACTCAGCAAAAGTCAAAGGAAATGGTCAACCTATGATCTATAACTATTGGCTATGTATTTGCCAATCAAGAAATATCGGTGCATGCTCAAAGACAGGACCTTTGCAAACTACACAGATCAAAATCCCCTAATACAGTACAAAGTCTGTAATCCGGACTCGTTGGGGACTTCAGCAATTCCGGATTAGGGTTTTTTCCGGATTATAGATCATCAATTTAAATCTGGCAAGATGGGATGCAGAAATTATGCAATTAAAAATATGAAACCGTAATTTATGAAATAAAGAGCAACTTAAAGCGTATCAAAATTTACACCAAAAAAAAAAGCTTAATATTTATTTGTTTACTTTATTAAACATTTCTTTCAGTGTGAGTTGTTTAAGTTGCTTTGTTTTTTGTGCTAATACTTTCTCTTAATTCTATAAACAGACATAATTTCTTTTCAGTTACAAAGTTCCACTGTTCAAGTCCTGTAATTGCTGTGTCGAGAATACCGACTAACTTGTCAATCGAAATTTTTTCGTTTTCAATATCCTCTCTGTCACTTTCTTCAACTATCAGAAGCAGTATTTTCTCAATCTAGAACCATACTACAGATTTCAACATCCATTAACTGATTGATGATTAGGCATAATCTTTTTGACATAATCGAAAGTTCAAGCTTAATTTTTAGAAAATTGCTCTAACAGTCTGCAAAAAATAATAAGCCAGATCCAATTAGAAGATTAAGGAACAGCACAATCTGCAACATTAACTGAAATGCCTTAGAATCAGTAAAGATAATTTTAGCCTAGCTTCTACCGTCCATTATACATTAAATGTGAATGCATAAACGCATTATGCACATGTGTTAAGCATACTAAAAAAAAAGTTTGTGGCTTTGAGGTACGGATTATAGATCATTCCGGATAATGGGCAACCAGATTACTGTAGCTTTACAGCAGTCATGGTCATTTTTCCAAAAGACTATGAGTGATATAAATTAATATTTTTCTTTATCTGTTATAGTTCCAGTATATGAACACTTGCAGATTTTTTTTTTTTTTCATATATTTGGGAGTTGTCTAAAAGTCTTATTTTAGTAATTTTATAAGGTATTTCTCCCGCCTTCTTAGTATGCTTCATGGTGTAGTGGTCAGCATGCTTGAAGCGTATTTGAGAGGGTCTGTGGTTAGAGTCCTGGCTAAGGCATTGCTCATTTTCATCTCTCCTGCTATCAAAATAACCTAATATCTTTACAACTTTTCATTATTTTTATTAAATATAACATGCATAATATCATTATATTTCAATGAGAATTTTACGTTATATTATTACTTGCATATCAATAGTTATATATCTTGTATTTTATTTTATATGTACACTGCACAAAAAAAGGGGGAGAACAGTTCTGTATCTCCCATTTTACTGTGCAGATTGATGAATTCAACTTGCATTTTTCATGTCTCGAAAGCGCGACTTAGGATATGTATTAGATTTATATATACAGCATTGTTCTAATATAGGTATTTTGACACAAAATCGGACTTTTTCTCAAATAGCATATGAATTTTTTTTTTTTTATATATATATATTTTGATTCTATGACTCAAATTATTCCAAACTGCCAAGTTTTGTAAAAATTAGTTTTTAAAAAATTAGCTCTGAAAATTTTAGCCCCTCCATGTAAATTGAATCTTGCATATATTTATTAATATCTCTTTTTTTATTAAATTTATTTGATTCTTCCTTTCACAATTCGAAATTTAGGTTCATTCCAAATAAAATTCACCCATTTTAATGGTTTATTTTTTTAATTTATATTTTTATAAATTTTTCGAAAAAATTTTTGAATTATAACCTATAAAATGTTTACCATCAGCAGATGTATTCCTAAGCATACCTGCCAAAAATTAAGAGTTTTTCATTCAAAATTTCGTAGGACATATGTGATTTCACATACTGGCATGTTTTGAAATTTGGCATTTGAAATCGCATATAAGCGATAATAACACCAAATGTGGTTTACACACTTTGTCAAAATTATTTGAAAGCATGAATGATGACTTTCTTTCCCACTCATCTACAATGAAAAAAAGGAAAGGAAAATTAGTTTGCTATAAATTAAGAAGTTTGCCAAGGGAATTATTCTTGACACAAATTGAAAAAAAATGGGCCAAGATAAATTTTTTTATTTCTCCATAAATTTCGCACCAAATTTTACAAAATTTAATATTTAGGCACCATTTGAGTCACAGTATGGAAATATGGAAAAACATTGGCATGTTATTTCAGAAAAAGACCAATTTTGCGTAAAAAATACCTATGTTAGAACAATGCTATATATAAATCTAATATATATCCTAAGTCGTGCTTTCAAGACATGGAAAACGCAATTTGAATTTCATCAATCGGCAGAGTAGAGCGAGAGATACAGAACTGCCCCCCCCCTTTTTTTGTGCAGTATACATTTCAATGTGTATTTTAAAGTATAACTTTTACTGGAATGTGTACATTTTTTATTGGAATCCCTTGCAGTCAACCCCTTTTGTTTCATGACTGTGTCACTGGGGGGATACTCTGTGGCTGTCTTATGCTCAGCTGCGTATGCCACCAGCTGACATCACATTGTTCTGTTATAGCTGCCCACATCACCAGCTGACAACACATTGCTGTACTATCAGTTCTGTAAAGTTCAAGTATTGTGTATTAGCTTCTGTGACTTTATGAACAAACTGTGTTAATACAGTTGATTGTTTTAACAATGTAGAGTCATATCTATAAGAACCATCACTGAACCACAGCCAAAACTCTTACAGATTAAATAAAATGAAAACCATGATTTTTGATGAGACTTCTCTGTGACTTGGCAATTTTTATAATACATTTTAAACTTATGTGAGTTTACTTATCATCCGTTTAAGTCTCGTAAGATGGCATGCAGAAATTCTAAAATTAAAAATATGAAACCGTAATTTATGAAATAAAGAACAATTATGATCTAAAGGGTATCAAAACTTACAAAAAAAAAGCTTAATATTTATTTGTTTACTTTATTAAACATTTCTTTCAATGTAAGTTGTTTAAGTTGCTTCGTTTTATGTGATAATACTTTCTCTTTAATTCTATAAACAGACATAATTTCTTGTTCAGTTACAAAGTTCCGCTGTTCAAGTCTTGTAATGCTGTGCCGAGAATACCGACTAACTTGTCAATCGAAATTTTTTGGTTTTCACTAACCTCTCTGTCACCTTCTTCATGTCTTTATCCATTTTTTGCAGCAATTCCACTTTTTGTTCAATGGACATCGAAACATACTTTTGTTTTGTAGATCCTTTGGGAGCTCCAGCATCGGAAATTCTATTTGACATAATCAAAAGTTCAAGTTTACTTTTATAAAATTGCTCTTACAGTCTGCCAAAAATAATAAGCCTGATCCAATTCGAAGATTAAGGAACAACACAATCATCAACATTAACTGAAATAGATAATTTTAGTTTATACCGTCCGTTATACATTAAACGCGAGGGCAGAAATGTATTCTGCGCTTGCGCACATGCATATGTGCAGTCATAAAAGTCTTACGTTGCACGCGTAATACGCCTGTGCGCATGTGTCAATGCATGCGCAGAAAGTTTTTAGCTTTGAGGTCAGGATTATAGATCATTCCGGATTATGGGTGTCCGAATTAACGACTTTTGACTGTACAAAAGGTTGGTACTTTGGTAAATCAATAATAATATCTGAGTAATCAAATTAAGTAGCATCTACCATCTGTAACTCCTGGATTTTACTCCCCTGAGGATGTTCTTGATCAAAATTAGCAACTAGACAAAAATATATCACTAGTGAAGGTATAATTTTGATTATCATATGATAAATGCAAAAATTTATGATGGCAAAAGTGCAACATTAAGGTGGCTTATCTGTGAGAATAACACCAACAACTTTGGATGCATAACAGTAATAACATTCCTGTGCAATTAAAGATATATGATTTTATGATAAAAAAACATTATAATACTTCAAAAAGTACAAAATTCCTTTTGTGAATGACATTAGAATGGCCAAAAAACTAATATTTTTCCTTTCAAAATGACTTTGGAATATCCACATGTTGTACTTAATTTTTAATATTACTTTAAGACAAGCAAGGCATATATGAAGTAGAATCAATAATACTTGTTGCATATTTATAAAAACTATGCAATACATATTAAAAAAATTTTTAACTTCGTGAAAGTTAAATTTATTTGGATATAAAATTTGGCTGAATTAATCCAAATATTGAGATAAAAATTACCACAACTTTAAAGAATTTTGAGTAAATGTATGAACACATTCTCCACTTCCTCTAGTTACTGGTGTAGCTTTCAAGATTGTATACCAGTCACAAACATCTATCTGTTAAACTGCCCTATGTGTGGCTAAAAAAATTTTCACCAGTTCACTGCAAGTTTTAGGTCTTTTAATGAAGCACATTACTGCCATACTTTTATAGTTACAGCTTGTCAGTTTGCAAGAGGGTTAATATTCGAGAACTAGAAATAAAAATCTGCCTATACTCTGGTACTGAATGAGAAAATTTGTATGCAACTGAGGCCCTTGATATACATGATTAAAAATTAATAAAAGACACAAAAGAAAGTTTTGTTGTTTTAGCACAGGTTACGGACCAAAAAAGGGGGAAGGCAAGTAAAATCTATACAATTCAAAGAATTAAATCACATGAATTAGCAAATTAAATCATACAGATTAGCAAAAATGTAAATAATTTTATATCAAGAGAATTCAATAGCACGTTTACTTTGGAACGACGACAAGAAGTGTAGTTAAATATTCAGAGTCTAATACAAAATGCTCCTTTTTCACCAGGTCTCCAAGTGATCTGAGTAACAGACTCCCGCTGGAAAATAAATATATATATATATACATAAAAAATTAAATAAAAATTTTAAAAAGAGAGTTTTTTAACTAATTTAATGAAAACATTATTCTAAACCAGTTTCAACGTTAATTTAGTTAGCTTTAATTTTTCAGTAAAATTTTTTGGCATATTTAAAATTTGGAATAAAGCTTTAAATTTTTTGATAAAAATTCAAATTTGGGAAAAGCATTATGTTAAATATGTTTAAAATTTATTCTGAGAAACTTCTAACATCTTTAATGTGATGTTTTATTTATAGTTCAATAAAAGAGCATTATTTTTTAACCAATGGAATAATTAATCATATTATTTTCAAATCTTAAATTACTGAAGTTTAAAATTCGGCAAGCACCACATTAACCCTCTGACCATCGGATCTATGAATAATGCATTCATTGTCACTATAAATAAAAATCTGCCCATATGGGTAGGTCAGAGATTCTGAAATGAGGCTAAAGTACTTTAAAATAATGCTAAACAATAATTAATCACTTATATATATTTCTTAATTTATTTTATAATTTCAAACACAACATGAGATAACATATTTAAAACTACTTACAGTCTCGTAATGAATACCATTAAATGACATAACAAAATAAGCATACTCCATACATCCAAAAACAAACAGTTATTACTAACGTCTGTTTTCTTTCCAAATTTTGCAGACTAGTTTTCAGCTGATTATAAGCAGCTGATTTTTGTTTCAAATCTGCTTCAATCTGTTGTACTTCCTTATTAATCATGTCAGCTATATTTGGGAGAGGTTGCCTTGCAGGGTACTTTGCCATATTCCAAGTAAATTTTTGTAGATATGTAGGAAGGTCAACTATTATAAAATAGAAAAAAAAATTACTCTCATATCAAAACACAGAAATTTCTTTTGGATAAAAATTAAATCATATTTCTAAATTGGTACCATTTATTTATTTCAAAACTTCAAACAGCTTTGAATCATAAATTTAAAATATGTTACTGTAACGAAAAGAAAAATCTTTTTACCATGAAAGAATGACTACATACATTTCATATGTTGACTATATACACTTTTTTAAGATCTTTTACTAACAGAGAAGTAACATAAAATTATAACAACACAGAAGTAATATAAAACTTTAAATTATTTTTAATTACACTAACCATTATTGACTTGGAGATTTTCATGCAATAAATCTTTTTGATCTTCCAGAATTTCTTGCATATATGAAACTAATTTTCTAATAATCCTGCAAAGTAGATTGATTACTTTTTAAACATGAAATAAAAGCTAAAGCCCTATAACAACTATATTATGCAAAGATAGATACAATGGTACAAACTGTTATAGAAGAATTTACTGTGATATTGTAAGAGCAATTGCTATAGTGAGCTCTCTCGGACGAACTAACAACTTTGCATCTAACTTTGTAGACTGTGGTCTTTCTATTTGCATCTGAATATTTTTTGTTTAAGATTTAAAAACTGTTTAACCTATTAATATCAGATATACCTAGTAAAATATTATGATAAATTCAGATGATAATTAATATAGAGAGGATGCATAAAAGCAAATAACTTCCAGGTTAGCAAAACACAAGATAATTACTTACCCTTCCACATACGCATCTAACTTTGATAAGTCATCAGTTAAGCCAACAAGCTGGTCTAAGGTTCCAACCTGAAAGTGCAAAAAGGTATATAATCAAAAACCAGAAAACAAACATATAATATTTATATTATTTATAAATCTATATGGAAAAGCATGCTTCGAAAAAGTAAAACTTTGCTATAAATAACTACATTACAATAATATAATTGTTTATATTAAAGCAGATAACAAAATGAATGTTGAAATTTCAAATGGGCATAACAGTTTTGAAACTTCCCACAGAAGTATGTAACTCACACAAAATAAAACAGCAGATATAAAAGTTTCTCAGCACATGCATCATAGCTGTTTCCTTCCTACTGTCATTTAACAGTACATGAAAATGAAATTTTGGGTTAGGAAAACCAATAATTTCTGTTCAATGGGCATTTAAATATATGCTTAAAATTGATTTCCGCTCAACAAATGATAGTAGATTACATTATGAGCAACTACAGAAAAACTCTCTATAAAATGTGAATGTTCCCACTATATTTCAGAATCTATTTATATAAATAGTACAGTAATAAAATTAGAACTAATCAACCCTTAAATCAAGCAGATAATGCTGAAAGTAGAATGTTTTCATATTTTATTTTGAAAAATAAATAAATAAAAATAACATTACTGACATTAATTAAAAATTTACAGACCATTTTTTCAGAATTTCTTCACTGATTCTTTGATATTTAATTAATCAGAAAACTGACTTTTTCAGATGCTTTTGGGGTAAATCATCTATTTTTGAATGATAAATCTTTATTTCACTTGCATCAACCCTTGTTTAAACATATAATAAAGTATGAAATATTCTGAAAAACAGTTTTATTCAAATGATATATTTGCAAACAAAAAATTCTTAATATAAAATTAACCCTACAGACTTTTATTCATATGGTTTGTGAAGGGTTTAATTTTTCTGCTTCTCCCATTAGATCTTGTACAGTATAAAGAAGATTTTTATTTAAATGATATGTTTATGGACAATAATTTCTTCAGGTAAAATTATGTATGATTCAGATACTTATAGAATTCACCTATATGATTCATACATAGACTTTCATCGATATATAAAAAATTCATGCAATTTTTTCTACTTCTGCATTAGATCTGAGACAGTATAAAGATTTTTAGGTACTTTCTTATTAAAGCTGCCCCAAGATTGAATTGTTTGTCAACCAAAATATCTCGACACATGTTCTTCATTATTACAGCTGTCCACAAGATTGAATCGCTAATCAATAGGGATATGTCACTGAAATCTCCCCCACATGTACTTATGTTATATCTTGGCTAATTAGTGATTAACTTTTAGGGGCTGCTATAATAAGGAAGTACTGATTTTTATTTAACATAATTGTTGATTTATAATACTTTGGGGAAAATTAACTACAAATGGTTCATGCAATATTACTCCGTTAGCTCTTGGAAGGTATAAACAACAACATTTCTTTTAAGAAATTAACTCCTTGGAAGAGAATTATTGGTCATTACCTGATAAGTTCATGTTTGTTTCTTAGTAAAATTTATAAAATCTATTACGATTTGCAATTAATAATGGAAAGATATATAATAACATCAGCCATTTAATGTAACAAGAAATACAACTACAAAGATTTTTTTTTTTCAAAATAATAAATTATATCAATAATTTATTATTTTGGAAAAAAAAATCTTGCTTTATCCTATGTATAATTTGTCACTTCTGAAATGCCTAAAGATACATGTATTATTTAAATGATTTTTATCAATTTTTGAGGCATACCATCGATGCGTGAAAAGCATCCATCAAACCAGATCTCAAATATCTGCTTAACAGAAACTATTTTTTTTTTACTTTCATGTGTAATATTAAGTATAATATTAATATATGTGTAATATTAATATTCTGGACTATATCTTAATATGTCTAGAACGGTATAAATAATATATCTGAAAACAATATTGTGCATATCTTTCTAGACATATACAATAAAAAAGATACTATAAATAAAGAAAAGTCCAAAAAGATATAAACAATATGTCTAGAAAATCAGAATGTATTTTTAATTCTTTACCTCTGAAATTAGCAAGCCCCATACAAAATCTGAAGGTTATTATTAATTCAAGTATTATTGCTTTCTTTGAATTTTCTTAAATTTATTTTTGTTATGAAATGGGACTCCAGTCTAACAAGTGCAGCTTTAAATGTTCAAGTCATAATGTTCAATTATGTTCATAATGTTCAACGTAACATTCTTCTCTATTGAAATATTTCGATAGAGAAGAATGTTCGTTAAATGAACATTATATGAAATGCTCTTATCCACTGACAATTTCTAATGTTCCAAATTTTATCTCTATTTCAAATAATTAAATCAAAGCTGGAGAATAAATTTTGAAAGGTCTAGAAAAATCCAGGTATTTTGGTACCATCACAGCCATCTTGGTACAATTTGGTGATATTTTTTCAAGAAAAAGAATGATAATTTCAAGTTGGAGTTATTTATTTCATATCATACATGTTATTAGGTATTTGTTTTTGTTCAATATTTATCCCGGAAAACAATTTATAAAACTACTTACAAATGGTATGTAATGGTACTGCATGTAATTATTCCAGTCTACCACAGTCTTACCAGACATTTCTAACTCTCCCAAGCAAAATTTTACATTCATTATTTCTTTACTCTAGCAGTATATAAATCTGACTGTAGTAAATGGCAGATAACTATTCTCGAACCAATAACCACTTCGAATACCAATGTGCTCGTTACACTTTTTCATGCTGTATTTCCAAAAATGTTGTTTTCCAAAATATATCATCATCAAATGTGAATCTGAACATTCTAGCTTTTGAGGCAAAATATTATATTCCTGCAAAAATTTCATAGAACTTTCTTCACTTGCAGGGAAATCACACAAATGCATATTTCAAAACTCAGTTAAAGACCAAAAATATTACAATTTGCTTTTAGAGCTTCTAATACAGCGAAAACATAATGTAAAAAAATGCAGATGTCGCTTATTCAAACTTACAGTTATCAATACAGTTATCTGAAGAACTGTTATGTGCATGGTTGCCAGAGTTTGGTAACTTCTATCAAGATGGTTCTAATAATGCCAAAGTACCTCATTCCACTAATATGATGAAATCGTCATTTTCTTGGAAATTAGAATTTAGTACTTACTGATTGCCCTCTCCCATGGCCTTGAAAATCATTCACAAGGCAATGCATTATGCTGCCAAAATAGAAGAGCCACAGAATTGCTAAAGTGGGTACTTGCATATTATCCCATCGACCATGAAATTGTCACCAAGCAACATGATTTAGAGCCAGTTATGGATAAGTCTAACATAACAGTACACTCAAAACATCTAATGCTTTTGTTGTATGTAAGCCCGACTGACTCCTGATAAGCCATGTTTTGATTTTATGAAGAACAATATAAATAAACAGATATTACTGTATTTTCTCCTTGCATTTTAAAAATATATATTTATTTATTTAAAATTTAGCACCTGTCTTCTATAAAACAGCAAGCAGAAGGTTATTTTTAAACTTATGGGATCCTACCACTAAAACAAAGTGTATTAATCAACACAATGTAGTCAGCTGAATATGGCCAACAAAATAGTAACAGATTGAAACAATTACTTGAGGGAAATTTGCTCAGAGACCTCTCAGCAAAATTAAATAGCTAAACAAAATAGTAAAAATCGATGAAAGCCTTCTTACAAGGCGCAAAAATGAAGCAAGCAAATTATTATTAAATATACAACCATCAGTTCCTTTAGAATTCTTTGGGAATGATTGGTGCAATTTTGGCGGGATATGGTTCCATGGTAGCTGACTTTTCATACTCAATGGGATAATACAGTCAAAAGTCCTTAATTCAGACACCCATAATCTGGACCTCAAAGCTACAAACTTTCTGCTAAATTAAATCAAAGCTGGAGAATAAATTTTGACGATTTCTGCGTCGCGTTGACGTATGAGCATAAGCGTTTACGCGCGTAAACGCTTTATGGCTGCGCATATGCATGTGCGCATGCGCATAATACGTTTACACATGCGCGTTTAATGTATAACGGACGGTATAAGCTAAAATTCTCTAATTATCTATTTCAGTTAATTTTGCAGATAGCGTTGTTCCTTAATCTTCGAATTGGATCCAGCTTATTATTTTTTGCAGACTGTTATTTGGCTTATAATTCCTTACTAAATGTAGTATTTCATCTCAATGTACTCTGTCTTTGATATGATTTAAATCATATTCCTCGTCATTATAATTCGCTTCCGATAGTGAAGAAAGTGACACAGAGGTTATTGAAAACGAAAACATTTTGATTGACAAATTAGTCAGTATTCTCAACACAGCAATTATAGGACTTGAAAAGCGGAACTTTGTAACAAGAAATTATGTCTGTTTATAGAATTAAAAAGAAAGTATTATCACATAAAATGAAGCAACTTAAACAACTTACATTGAAAGAAATGTTTAATAAAGTAAACAAATAAATATCAAGCTTTTTTTTTTTTTTTTTGTAATTTTTTTTACCCTTTAGATCATAATTGTTCTTTATTTCATAAATTACGGTTTCATATTGTTAATTTTATAATTTCTGCATGCCATCTTACCAGATTTAAACTGATGATCTATAATCCGGAAAAATCGATAATCTGGAATCGCCGAAGTCCTGACGAGTCCGAATTAACGACTTTTAACTGTACGTAAATACACCAAAATGCATTTATCTGGCAATCCAAATACTTTGCTATATACACAAGCACACAGCAATTGATATCTGCCTTCAAATTAAAAGCTCATTTCTCCAATTAGTATTTTACATTTTCCCTCCTTGTAAGGAACTGTTAATAAGTTACTATGGAGTTTGCCAGACGATAAAAAGGACAGCATTGCATTTCTTCAGAAGCATGGCATTTTGCTTAACAAAAAAGAATGCAAAAATTCATATTCCATAAAGTTCTACTTTGTAATTGACCAAATTTTATGCATTAAAATTTGTATGCCGAAAATGAATTTGT